GTCTTACGATCCAACTCCCGTCGAAAGACTTGGGCTTCCTTCCCCCGCCTTCACTTCAAAGTCGATGCAGCAAACTCGCCAAAAGTACGTCGACCAAACGGCGAATATGTTTAGTCCTCCCCAGCCAAGACCAGATTCACAACAAGCCGGGTATGGCTCACGTCCCGGAACAAGGGGGTCTGATATGCCTCGAAATACATCACCAGCGCCCACTAGGAGCGTTTCCCCTCGACCTGGAACACAGGCCGAAATGAGACAGGCCGCCTCTCCTAAATACGCTGGAAGTACTCACTCTCGTACTGGTTCCGCTCCTCAGCAAAAGCGGGGCTCTGATACTTATTATCAACGAAACTCCCCCAGTATTTCTGCTCGTGGCGTCTCGCCAGCCCCATATGCGCAACAAGAAAGACCCAGCAGTAGCCACGTCAAAGCCCCCTTTCAGCAACAAGAGAGGCCTAGCAGCAGTCATGTCAAGGCCCCGTTCGCACAACAAGATAGGCCTTCCAGTAGTCATTCAATGGGTATGGTAAATAACAGCATGGCAATACAATTAGCCTCGGGCCATGATGACGGTTACGGCTCTCAGGGACGAAGTGGCAGTAGAGCTAGTGTCGGCTCGAGAGCCATGAGCCATTATGGAAGTGGAAGTGACCAGCAATTGGCGGCCCGAAGCAGAAGTAAAAGCGTTGCGGATGTCCGTCAATTTAACAGTCAAGGCCGTCCCATTCTACATTTCGGTAAATTCCCCCTGGTCTTGATCATTTGAGTAACACTAACAATCTTTTAGCTCGCGCACTCTATATGTATCAAGCAGCTATCCCTGAAGAACTCAGTTTTGCAAAGGGAGATATTCTTGCCGTTATGACGCACCAAGATGATGGATGGTGGGAGGCAGAAGTAGCTGGAAAAAATGGTCGACCGGGTTTGGTACCAAGTAATTATCTTCAAAACTGTTGAGCTCATCAACAGGTTCGAGGAACTCGGAGTAGTAATGATTGAATACGAGGTTTGGGTATGAAGTAAGAGTTTGTGAGTATGATAGTTCATGAAATGATGATACAATGTACGCAGTTGGATGATGATGATGGATGATGGACTCCACTTTTATTTCTCACTTTCTTTCTAATTTTTTTCGATTCACACATAACGTGTTATATTCTTTTGAATTCTAGCGAGGGGATGGATAAGAGGAAGGGGGGTTCTAGGTTTTTTTTAGCCAGCGAGAGCGTTATGAGAATGGGCGGATTTGTGTTATACCTTTTTGATGAATGAGCTTATTAGGTTCTTTTGATGTTATTGTTTGCTGTTTACAAATTGGAGGGGCCACAAGGAGAGCAATATTGGAGACGGAAGATTGAAGAACATAGGCATGCAAGCACATAGTCTGATATAAATATTATTTTTGATAGCGCGAGGAAAACTAAATACATGATCCTTTTCTTTGTAAGGTTCGTTCTGTGATCGTAAAGTTATACTGATATCGAGAGATCGAACTAGAAATTCTGAGGCTAGTACTGCTCCCAATCCCCGTCCTTGTTTTCTTCAAGATAAACAACAAAATTCTTGAAATGTGGTGATCGAGTCGTTTCAACTCTCTCGTAGCATCCCCCAAACATATCAAGCATGCCGAAATGGCTCCAGCCATCGTAGGCACTGTGATGACTTGTCCCTATAAAATCACGAGCGCCGTCCCGACCCGGTGCCAGACCTAAACGTACAAGCCCGGTGCCATAATCGAATGCTGCACTATTATCGAGATCGAGGTACTCGTGTAGATTGACTGCGGTTTGCCAACCAATGTTTTCGCGGAGCACCACTTGCAAAATCGAACGACCTGGTGAAAATGATGCGAGTGCGTGAGATTGCATTTTGAGATACGGAATTTTCCCATGCGGCGACAGAACGGCTGATATCATTGACTTCTATACTCCCCTCACTCGTATCGAGCAATGCTGCTCAGATTTTGCGAAGTTTGTACTCTTTCGTTGAAGTAGGTGGAAGCTTCTCAGAAGTCTCATCTAGCGAGACGCCTAGTTGCTGAGAGTTAAGGGTGGCTGGAAGCTGACGTAGAGACGTGTGGTCTTTTTTTCCCAAGGAAAGTACAGGTATGGAATCGACAGAAATATAATACTTCGGAATCATTGCTGTTGGTAAGCAAGTGGATAGATGGTCACGAAGCTGTGTAATTCCTGAGTTCTCAAGTCCTTTTCCCCGTTCTTTCTGGAATTGCAAGAAAGCCACAGGACTTGGATTTTTCGCAAGACCGCCAGAGGCTACGATCTCAATTACAACATTGACGAGGAATAGTCAAGGAATAGCTTCTCGCACGCATTATTCTACCTCTCCAAGTTCGATTCTTTGTCCATGAAGTTTGACCTGGGTGTCCTTTCGGCTTACAAATATCAGAATGCCGTCTGCATTTTGGCATGCGAGGTCACCGGTTTTGCAGAATTTTCCGCAAGGCTTGATATTTGGCGTAAATCAGGCCAGCCAAGATGGAGGTTCAATGAAGGCTGCCTCCGTCTTGTTCGAAGCGTTAATGTAACCGGAACAAACGTTTAGGCCGTCGATCACTCGTTCACTAGTCATACCAATAAAGCGAAGTCTTTCATGATTCCTTTGATCCACAATCCAGCATCTACAGTTGCATGACTTCGGTCGTCCGATATTTCTTGGATCTTTGTTTGGCAAAATCCTAGTGTTGACCGCTGACTACGGACTACGTTCCGAGGAGCCATAGCTATTCATTAGTGTCACTCTATGTGCCCAGGTTTCAATATCGAGTTCTTGGAGAGACTCGCCGCTGAGCAGAGTTTTCAATGTCGGCAGAATATCCGGATTCAATGGTTTGACTACCGTTGGCGTGAGTTTGGCAAACGTCACACCCATTCGGGCCATGGATCCCGTTACATTGTTCATCTGGATAGACGTTTAAAGATTAGAGATGCTGTGGTCTCTATATGAGAGATTTTTATCCCACGAGGAGATTGCGGATGCTTGATGATGGATGACTTCGTGCATACAAGAGTCGATCATAAGGAGGTCTTTATGGTTCCATTGATATATGATACTTAGATCACCAGTAATAATGAGGCTCAAGTTATCAATCTCGATGCTTGAACCATCCACAGTACGAGCAATCACCATGGTCATGCAGCCTAGGATGCTTTTTGCTTCGATGGAAGAGATTGCTTGGGAAGAGCTCCATAAATTGATCGTCTGGTTTTTCTCCGAAATTGAGACGTGTACAGTAAGCGAGCATGCTAATGTTGTTAGCGTACTAAGCTTGGAGCTGTATGTGATATTGATCAACATACTTCTTGATCACTGTTTCCGTTCATGAAGTTATTCTCGTTTTCATCTGGCACTATCGATAGGCAAGTGTCGATAGAAATTAGCCAGGGTCTTCCTCTTAAAGTATCTCAAGAATTTCAATGATAGGCTGCGAGCCATTGACTTTGCTGCGAAAGACTTCAGCACTATTGTCCTCAGCTACGAAGCCTGCGCAAATCTCATCGCTTGCAGTATAGATTCCAAGCACTAACGCCCAGCACGGAAAAGCGTCTCAGCCGACACACTCTTCTCTGCGCATAATTGATGCACGGAATTTAAGTCAAAAGCTTGCTCGATTCCAAATAGCTGCCACTCTGACGCATTGGAGTTTTCTCCCTTCATACCACGGAGATGGCATAAATCCCACAGTGATAGGGTATTCATAAGATTTTCTCTTTGAGACATTCCAATAGTTTTAAGGATGAGGTGTTAACTTGCCGGACGTTTTCACCTCGGATGTATATTCTCTGGGAGAAATGAGTAGATGGAAAAGGGATACTGTTCAATAAGAAGGTGAGCTTTTCACAGAAAGAAAAAGGATTTGAATATCCTTAACACCCCCGCTCGGAATCTCTGGACCAGGACCAGCGATGACAAGTGCCTTGCGTTCATACAATCGCGAGAAGTCCTACACTGCGTAGGCACCGAGCGACATGACAACTGAGATAGCGTAATCCAGATGGGAACAGCTTACAAGAGCGGTTGGTATCTGCAAGATAATCATAGTGGCAGTGTTCCAACAGAAGATGAGGTATTCTAGGTGGTATAGGCTCGACTCTGAGATACATATATTATGTGGATACTACCAATATACCACCAACATAGCGGAACACTGGCTTGTACAAAACGCCTAGATTTCGAGCTTCCTGAATAGGCGAGATTGTTGAATATCAGGGCAGGGTATGAGATAAGAGTGTTAAATTGATTACCTATCTAGTATCCTTTTATCTTAAGACAAAGTTCTAACTCCCTGATATGATTGCCCTCCAAGATCAGTAGTAATATTTCACCTAATACTATATCATCAGGGAAAATATTTCGACCTTATCTTTCTGAGCCCTGTGCTTATAATTCGTTCTTCAGAAATCCAAACTCACTTTGAAATATCTAAATCCTTGAATAAAAATGAGTATTGAAAGACAGCAAGATGAAGAGGAGGCGAATGCGGCTGTAATTGACTCGGCACCAATTACAACGGACGAATCAACTGAAAAGTATCTAAAACCCTTATATTTCCAAGCCCCCAAGGACCCCCAGATTCCAGAAAACGAGACTGGGCCAGAGGATGTACAAACAATCTACCCAAGTGGCCTGGAGTTCGGTGTTATATCGATATCTTTATGTCTATGTGTATGTGTGTTTCTTGTCGATCTTATAAGTTGTAGTGACTTACATTCCTTCCAACCAGCATACTGACGTGGAACTTCAAAGGATGCTACCATTCTCACTACTGCAATACCATGGATCACAGACGAATTCCATTCGGTAGCTGATGTTGGCTGGTATGATGCCGCATTGTGAGTTTTTCGTGCGGTTTCATGATGGAGATGTGTATACTCAAACTTCACAGTCGACTGACATCATGCATGTCTCAATTATCCCAAGGCAAACTCTTCACCCATTACAATGTGAAATGAGTATTCCTTATCAACATAGTAATATTCGAGATGGGCATTCTCATTTCCGGACTAGCCCCAAGTTCTGTGATTTTTATCATTGGGCGGGCAATAACAGGTCTCGGCTTCTCTGGAATTAGCCAAGTTTGTATGATGTATAAAGCCTAACAACATATCCTATCCGAACTTCAAAGGCTGATCATGAGGTTTCTAGTATTATTGCCATGTCAAGACCACTGAGACAGCGGCCAACTTACATCGGGCTCATCAGTGCAAGCGATTTCTTTGCGACTGCTGTCGCTCCACTTCTCGGCGGAGCATTTACTTCCAGTTTATCATGGAGATGGTGTTTCTATATCAATATCCCGATTGCTGCTGCTCCGACAGCAGTTTTATTGTTCTTCTTGAAGCTGCCAACTCAAGTAGCCACACGCCATATGAGCCAGAGATCTAGAGAAAAGCTTTGCGAGCTTGACTCTCTAGAATTCACTTTCTTCGCACCTGCTGTTCTTTTCTTGCTGCTGGCGGTTCTGCTTATGCTTGGAGTAATGGGAGCATTGTTGCGCTTTCTTTCTATCGCCCATTCTTTCCGGAATATTTTGTTTTATTCAAACGAGAAAGCAAGAAAAGGCCATGCTGCCCCCATACATCATTATGAAAGGCACCATTGCAGTGGCATCAATATACAGTCTTTCCCTTTCAGCTTCTCGTGCTATCGCCGAGTACTATGTAAGTGAAAATGACTTTTCATGTCAATTGAGGACTAATTCGCTCGCTAGCTTCCAATATGGTTCCAGGCCAGTTCGAGGCGCTTCACCACTTCAATCGGGGGTCAACACGTTACCTCTCGTAATATCGGTACTTATCTTCGCAGTCCTCTCTGGTCTAATCACATCTTACACAGGATCCTATAAGCTGATTATGGTTCCTCCCAGTCTGTGCGTGCTTACAGGAGTGGCATTAATGACAAATCTCACAATTACCTCGCCGAGCCGATTATGGATCCCATCACTCGTACTGCTCGAAATCGGGACCGTTAGTGGTATATCTGCTCCGTTCATAGCAGCTCAGACAATCTTGGACCCGAGTGACATGTCAATCGGCATGGCTATCATGACCTTTTCCCAAGATATCGGAGAAGCATTGTTTATCAGTATTGCGCAAGCGATATTGTTAAATCGACTAGTTAATAACTTAAACGAAACAGTACTGTTGTTAAATCCCTCGGATATTGTTCAGCTTGGTGCCACAAACATCTACGGCGCTATTCCTTCGCAAGACTTGAAAGACGTTAAGATAGCTTATAACCAAGCTGTCAAGAGTGCAATGTACGTATCTGTGTCTTTGGTCGCATGCATGGTAATAGCAGGATGTGCAATGCACAGAAGAACTAAAAGTACAGCATGAAGCGTTTTCTCTGGTCACTTGTCCTATATAGAGAGCTTGAGGCCCTAACCCTAACCCTACACTTCTTTCAAATTTTCATTCTAGTTTAACAAGAATTATCATATGAAGTTTTTAAAATTTTAGATTTTAGTCGATATGTGTGATAATATAGTATGTCACTTTTTGTACGCATTGATATGATGTGAATAGCTTTGATATTAGCCATCATAACCCTCCTAATTTATAGTCCTCCCATCAATAATCACACAAGTTAAAAACAAGCCATCAATTTAAGATCTTCACTTAATTTCATGCGCAAATTCAAACTAATAGATTCAGTTAATGTTCCGTATAGCTTATTACGTCAAAGGTATTCAAAAATGTATACTTTAAGATAAAACTCCATGTTGAACACCCAAAAGCTGTCGCTAGAAATCCACTTCTAAAATTCGTAACCCTCAGGATACTATCCCAAATCGCTCCTCCTTATTTACTAACCACAAATCCAATTAATACATAAAAGAGATATGAGTCTGAGTCTGATTCTAGTACTAAATTAACACATTCTCGTTTACTATACAAGCTGTACACTTCTAAACCAGTTCACTCTGCTACATCTATATGATATGCGCTATTCTGAATAGACAGCAATATGTTTCCTCTCAGTTGCCCCTAATGTAACGAGAATTTTCTTCCCTACTATCTCCCAATCGCAAATAACCGCATCTTCCTTCCAATACCCCTTCAACTCTCTCCAATCCTATATCCAACCCCTATCAGAACGGTATCTCCTGCTAGTTCAGCACTCCGGTCTTTCCACACCCCCTCTCAAATCCACACATAGTACGCAGCTCCCGCCGCCACAAAATAAGTAACTAGTCTCTCGGCATGCACGAGAACTATGAAAAATCGTGGAGATTTGAGATGGGTTGACTATGCTTGACTGCAGCAAATAGAAAGATATATAGATACTAGGTAAGAGCACCTTACAACTCGAATGAGGAATAGGGCACAGGACTTAGAAACCAACAAATCAAGAAATTTATTTCGTCTAAGCGAACTAATTGTGAATTCATCTACAAGATCTGCCCCAATGTAGGTATCTAGGTAATCACACACAGACAAATTCGAGAAATATTAACAATCTTCAAAATAATTTCATATCCTTTCACCAAAACTCGCTAATCGAAAACAATCTAAACCAGATTCATCATGTACGATACCTACCTAGTAATTCGCTCAGATTCTACTCAGGCCTTCTATCAATATACCACCCAAGAACATAAATACTGCAATATCAGCTGCAGACCTATCTCCTCCGCAGCCAGTTCTCCACCTTCCTCTCCACCAGCGAGTATCTCAATGCCAAAGGTGCGAAATAATTTACTTGTACCCCTCTCCCAAAGAGTCAGTACGAGGAGTAGAACAATCATTCCCGAAACCCACTCTACGACCGAAGTTACTACATTTAACTTTAACTAACGCACGCTACTCCTCAGAAGAATTTCACGATTGAGGATTGCAATGGTCTAATTCTGTGTCTGTAGATCCATACAATGTGCCATCGTTATATCAAATTGACTTTGCAATCTATCCTTACCATCATCTGACTTTGATAGTTAGCTTGACCATTGCTTTCTCATTCTACTACTCCAAATCATGATCAGCTGTAAAGTGGAATACTCATGAACGCAAGTTGTGAAGCTTATCTCTAATGTGCATAGGTATTTATAGCCTATCCTAGGGACTCCCTCACTTCTCAATTAATAAAGTTCAACCAGAGTAAGACAGCCGACTACCCCATCGGCTCGCGCAAACATGAACAAGAATTCTATGTAGTAACACCTGAGAGAGTAAAATACGCATTTCCATAGCACTAGCCACTCCGCACAACAGGAGAATTTGTCATGAACATGATCTATCTACTACCAATTCGGAAAACTTCCTAACAACTCTCAAACTCACTCGCATTTACATTCACGTAACCCACAAAGAACTGGTCACGTAATTTATTTATTGATATTATTTATCTTATCTGTTTTCTGTCCATTTGTATGCATGACCAACCACCCATCCCCATACGAGAAGACGTAAAACCCACCTAATCTCTGTCCGCCAGAGGCAGTCAAGTGAAGGGAGCAATCCTTACCAAGGTACCACCCACCACCCAGCTCTGTAGCCAGCCATGAAATCATAGTGCAGCAGGCGCTCAGGGTATTAAAAGAGATCTTTTACAAGACATACTGTGATGTATGCAAACAACCAATCAATCCATAAAAACAAGGTATCCCATGTGAAGACTCAGGTTAACAGGTATAAAAATCATACTTTTTATATAATATGATATGATAAGCCTGCCAACCCTTTCACAAATCAACCAACCAACCAAATATCACTCGCTGCGTGTCATGCCATGCTTCTCTTCGCTTTCCAATCCATCAAATAGATTGAGAGATAGATGAGACACCCATTAGCGTGAAATTCATCATGCCATGATGTCTATATCAAAATCTTTAGTGTTCCTTCCATCCTATATGGCCCCTAACCATCATAGCTCTTCTTCGTCGACATCCTTCATTGCTGGCTCTGGGAGGGGAGTCTGCGCAGCTTCGGCTGCTGCTACAATGTCGAGATTACTCGAAAATCCTGCCAGTCGTTTATCTAGAGACTCATCACCGAGGAGGCTAGCTCTATGTTTCTTCATAGGACTACCAACAAAGTTGTTGTCTGCGAGGCTCTTTCCGAACACATTGTTTGGTAAAGTTAGACCATTATTGTCTCCATCCGTAGCGGGAGTAGCATTGCCAGATGTATTGCTGGTTGAGTTAGGTGATCTGCCCAAGTTATTCAAATTTCCAGCGGAATATTGGCGTTTTAACTTCAATCAGTATTAGCATACTTTCTTACAAGTACAATGTGACTACCATACCTTGATTCGTCCAACCCCATCTGCTAATTCTCCCTGAAACTTTGCATCTTCGGTACTCAAAGTCTTATTTGGATCGTCCTTATCATCCACTTCTTCCATCTTTACTCCATTATCGTCATCGTCTTCATCGTCGCTGTCTTCCATCATGCCGGCATTTCCATTACTCTTTTTAGATTTGCTGCGCTTTGCGGAGGTGTCGTTATCTCTAAAGGCGGAAAATCCAACGGTTCCAGTATTACTCAATTTGCCAATATTTCCGAAATCTAACTGTGTTGACCTTCGTTTCGCAGCACTGCTGGATATCTTTTCCTGCTTTGAATTTGGTAGAATGCCCATCTTTTGCAATTGACCTGTGGTGACATGTTAGAGAGTGGTATTGTGACAGAAAACGGAAATAAAGCTTACGTTGACCTCGATAGAAGAATGTAAAGACCGCGAAAGGCTTATCGGGCCCGTCTATTCCAGTGACAGTTTGTGTGCTAATAGATTTTGGATCCAATGTCTTAGGCTTTGCAAAACTTGTGGTGTGATCAACATCCCCCTCTCCTCCTTCTCCATTGCCTTTCTCTCCTTCTTCATCATCATCATGAGCATCAAATTGTGGAGAGTATTCGCCGCGTTTAATTTCTCCAGATGCGAGTACCCGAAACATAGCAACCTTGATTTGTCCTGCAGCTTCCGGTAAAGCATCATCGTCGTCCGAGTCTGAGCTGAAACTTTCGTCATCTGAAACGGTCTCGACCGGCGATTGGTCATCTGCTCCGTATCGTAGAACCTCTCGTGCCGTGGATCTCTTTCTTGGTGTCATCATGTCTGCGAGTTCATCATCACTGCCAAGTTCGTCCTTTCTGCGCCTACGACGCTTCTCGAACTTTTGTCGACGCTTTTCGATTCTTGCAGCGGCATCTTGTCCGTCAAGATCAAGTCCGTTCAACCATCGCTCTAGACCAACCTCGCGGAACAAGAACTCTCGCTCAGCCAGTCCTCCTCCTTCAGAGTCTGGAACCTGGACCCATCGAGAATTTACCCATGTCTCTTCGCTTGGTCGTAAAAGAGTGGCCACTTCTTCCTTTGGTCTGCCATCAAAATAGATATATGCAGCGATTGTTTCATTTTCCGACTTGGTGATTGGTATGTAGGGACCGACTTGACCAGAGAAATTTGTTTTCTCGCCAAAGCCAGGCAAACCAGTGACGGTTTGAGGCTGAGGATAAGGGTTCGCGGGTGTTGCTTTCGGCGTGCTGTAAGGAATGGGAAGACCTGGAGTTAACAACGTAATTGAGATAGCAAACTTTGCGGCTTCAGGTTTATTGGTGGTCGAATCGCGGGGAATTTTGGGTTGAGGGACGGGGATGTATGTGTTAATACGACTGAATCTTGATTGTCGAGTTACTCCATATTCAGGGAGCGGTGATCCTTCAGCATGGACACTGACAGCAATACCTTTGAAGCAAGGCATTTTTACCTCACCGATACAATATGGCAGACGAAGCTGCACAGCCTAATATGTATAACTTATAAGTATTGTGATTTGGATTTGTATTGGTATTGGTATTGGTATTTGTGTTGAACGTGGGGGATGGATTAAAGTTGAAGAGGCCGAGCTTTTTGGAAAGCTCCGTCCGATTGTAGGTGATAATAAGGATGGGATGAGGAGGCTGAAGGTCTGGAAATGGAAATTGATGGTTGCCTCTTTAGCGTACCTTGTTACTGAAAGCCTTGTGCGTTCGTTGCGTTTGTTTGAATGTGCTGGGTGGAATTGGGAGTACAAGCAAGCCAAAGCCAATTGTCGTCGTAGTATTTGGAGTTGGGCTAGAAACTCCTTGACTTTTCCTCGAGTTGCAACTTGGTGCGATTGTATGTCTTTGAAGGGTAAGGGTGAGTTTGAGTTTGAGTATGAGGATGGGGTTGAGTATGGTAGAATGGCAGAATGGCAGAATGGTAGGTCAGTGGTAAGTGGAATTTCATGTACTCAGAAAACAATGAATTCCTCAAGTTTCGCTAGGCTGATGAACAACTGCACAGTGCAGACCAACAACAAGTCAAAAGGACTTATCGAACCAAAAGAAGAGGGGCAGAAATATGACTTTTACCAACAATACCATGTCATGTAAAAGCATCAAGTCACAAGTGGTCATCACGAAAGTATTGATGTGTTGGAGGGAAGACAATAATACCATACTACTACGACGTAAATCACACCGCTTCATCATTTTGGACATGGAAGAATCTTCAAACGGAATATTGTTTCTCAAAGGTGGTCTGGCTTGTGGTCATAGTGAATCACTTCAGTTCAATTCGAATCCCGTGAACATTCATTTTGATGCGAGTATTCCGAGGTTCTTTCAGACAAAACTTGAGCCAAAGATTTATTATTGCTATGTATATCGTAAAATAGAAAATATTGAGAGATTTCATGAGAATTCCAGAAATGACCAAAATCGCCTTGATATGACGCCCTGGTGATTGATTCAATACGAACGAATCGTCCATGTTTACCATGAACCCGCGTCGGTCTACCATGGCTTGCTGGGTTGAGCTCTATACATATGCTGCGATATGCGGCAGTCTGAATTATTCTCAACGTTGAGAATTCCTAAAAATCTTGATAATTGTTAGCTAAATCCTTGTGAAGATTTCTGCAACGATAATGATGAAGGGCATTTGATTGATAGAGTCAGACTGTTGAGCTTGATATATTGATTGAATCGACATGGTTATTCAGAAGGCCGTTCTTAATGGAAGGTTTTGTCATCATACAAAAAATGCTAGGAAGTGTGTGCATGCGGTAAAGCAAAAGAAATCCATAAACATACCATGAGGATTAGACGCTGTTGAGAGCGGCTGTTGTAAGTAATTCGATCAATTCAAAAAGATAATCAAAAAGATAAAATGTCAACATATAATCGAAGTCAAATCCCAAGCCAAATCCATATCAATCAGAGGATGCTCGAGAAATGAAAGACTTTGTACGTATGTGTGGATGGGTTGAAGAAGGTTATGCAGGTAAGAAGGTTGAAAAGAAGCATTGAATGGATTTAAAGGGAAGGGAAGTGATAAATTTTCGAGCTATTTGGCGACGTGACTAAGCTAGATTGGGTAAAGCGTATGACAGCCCAATTGTGGTGTCCACTCTACTGAAGTGTCTGGTATTCAAAATCACCCATAGAAACCCCTCTATAATTTCCCCTCCAAAACAAGCAAACCAACATCACAAAATATCCTTTCGAAATAACTTATTTTAAGAAAGCCTCATAAACTTAGAGCAAGATGGCCGGTAAGTTAATGAGTTCACATTCCGAGTATTTCACAGATAGGGTCTACATGCTCAAAATTTACTTGATGTTATCCATTCGTCAATTCATCTACCTATCCATGATTCGAGGCTAACTCCTCTTCCACAGACTTCGAAAGTGTCGCAAGTAAGTTTATGACATATTCCATCGCAGATGAAGCACGGAAACTAGCATCGAATCGTCCCGAAATCTGTGTGCGATGATGCATGGCTGTTCGAAACTTCTAGCAGCGGCATGCTGACAAGGCCAACCATTAATAGAGCAATTCACCGAGTACTACTACAACCAGTTCGATGCGGACAGAAAGCAGTTGGCTCCTCTTTACGTCAGTGCCATCATTGCCTCGAAAAGATCTCTTGCTAACAAGCTTTCAGCGTGAGAGTTCCATGTTGACTTTTGAGTCCGCTTCCGTCCTTGGAGCCGGTGCCATCGTAGAAAAACTTGGAGTAAGCTTTACTTCCTTCTTATGCAGATCGATACTAAAATAGCCTGGTACAGTCTCTTCCTTTCGAGAAGGTCAAGCACGCAGTCTCAACTCTCGATGCGCAACCATCCGGAGAACATGGTGGAATTTTGATTTTGATTACAGGAGCCTTGTTGGTAAGTCGAAACTTTGATGAGTTGCGCGCAAACAGAAGTCATTGCTATGGCGTGGTTCATATCAGACGCTGACAAAAAATCTTTCAGGTCGATGAGGAGCAAAGACCTATGAACTACAGCCAAGCTTTCCAACTCATGCCAGATGGAGCTGGAAGTTATTTCATTTTCAACGATGTCTTCAAGTTGGTTTTCGGATAAATCATTAGCTGGGAATGTTGGGTAAATAGGAGGTTGGTGGTTGACAAGAGGAAATGTTGGTCCATTTTGCAAAACATTATACCAGGCCTTCTATCGAGAAGCAAGGAGAGGCAACGAAGTTATCAAATATAAAACGACATAAAAAGGCACAAGTCGATGATCCTCATATTTCCCCTCCATAACGTATGCATTTGCCGATCAAAATATATGTGGAGAGATAGATATCGTAACCCTCCCCTCATATCGTAGTGTTGCACGAGCTTCAATGTTACCTGAGTACGATGAGGGAGAAAATCTCGAAGACAGCGTATGGATTCGCCATATTTTCGTAATCGTTTCTTAGGCAGCTGTATTAAAGGTTCACATTTTCCTTTTGTTCATATTTCCATCTAAAGAATATCTCAATAGGACTCAGCCTCATTCAATCATTTCAGCCTTTGTGTTTCTTCTTAAGGACTAGCGCCATACGCAGCTTCTCGAATTCACAGAACACGAAACAAGTACTCCGTAAACTCGTAGGAATCAATTTATTTTCAAATTTGAGACCCATACAACTCTTTAAACCGTTTCCCCATCAAAGCTCAAGCGAAATAACTCCGACATTCTCTTACGAGTTTACTGTATCTTGAAACGATTTATGTGTTCGCAAAGAAACGAAAACAAACATTGAAGAACTCACGAACTATTGTACGGCTCTCCACATCATCTTGAACTTCACCCATACATACCCATACATCGACCCATTTAAACATTCATCAGCCAAACCTCGAAAAAAGCAATCATGACTATCGCAGAGGAGTTCGCAACGCGCAATTTCAGTATGGATTCCTTTCCTGGAGCTTGTATAACTTTGGCTAATTGCGCTTCTAGGTATTTACGGTCAATGGTAAGAACATGCGACTCTTCCGAGCTCTCCATCAATCCCACTCAAGCCATTACATCATGAAGCATTATCGAATATGCATGTCAAATGTTGACGCAGCACATACCCTTCTTCCTCGGATGTGCTGGAAGTTAGATGATGAACATTTGGGGATTGTGGAACAAAATCTTGAATTGGGTCTGACAGAATGATACAGGACTGGAGTTGTATGCATACTTCTATGCTTTGCCCTAGGGATTGCCAACCTCTTCCACATAAGCTTGCTTATCATCTTTAGTGCGCTATGCCTGTGAGTTTCAATTTCCCTATCTACTTCATGTGTCAAAATTAACAACTTCCTTCTAGTGTGAGCTCTTTCCTCATCATCTTCATTGAGATTCCATTGCTTCTTCGAATTTGCCCCACGTCCTCGACCTTCGACACCTTTATGCGCCGATTCACAACCAATTATATGCGCGCTGCTATCTACATGGGAATGGCTATTGTTCAATGGCTCAGCATCATCATTGCAGCATCAAGTCTCATCGCTGCCGCTGTCCTTCTCACCATCGCAGCTGGTTTCTACGCATTGGCTGGTCTTAAGGGACAAGGATTTGTGGGAAGCAAAACACTTGGTGGTCAAGGTGTCGCGCAAATGATCCTATAAACCCGGAACATCGGTAAAGAAAAGAAGTGAATGGGAACAAGTGGTTCAAGTTTGAGTGGGCGGGTGATGCTTGGTTCATGGAGACGGGGGGTGAAGCGCAACTCTGAGGTTGATTTACGAAACAGAAAATGGGAGAGCATGTGGGTTTGGTGCAAGGCGTCAAGGGTATGGCAGCGCATTGAGTATGGCTGTTTGTTTCCATGTTTGATTTTTTTCAGCCCAGAAAAATCGGGAATTTCTTGAGGCTTCAGATTCCCTCATTTTGCGGGTGTACTTTTATACCTTCCATTTCTGTTTTCAAGACCAAAGCATCTCAGTGTATCTGGAATGCATCCTGTTCGTATATGCTTTTTTTTCGTGTGGAGTTAGTCAGGAGATAATTAGGTATGGAATTCAATGGAACATGAGTTATGAAGCCTTTCTATGGAACTGTATTGAATGTTTAGTATAGTGACATGATGTGAGCTTGTGGTCAAATGTGAAATCAGTATTATAGGATACTAGATATGCCTTCCGCAGCAGTGTGACAATATTGAAGCTTCGTGTCACCATTACGGGATGTCATAATCAGGTATAGATCACGAGCTATTGTGAGGATCTGAATGACTTATGTCAGGCGGATGCGATATGCTTGTGATACGTATCGTTTTGACATGTGAGGCATTCGGAGGATGTGATGTTAATTGAATATGAGGGCTTAGGAGGGAGTTTTGGAGATGGGAATGTAAAGAGGATAAGATAATGAAGTGAAGGCACGAAAATAGAACTTCTGGTGATTCAAAATGAAGGGTGTGGTATTTTGGGGCTTAGAAGCTCAGAAGCTCCGGGTGAGCGAGCTGGTCGTACCGCACTTGTCATGAACCCCTCATATTCACCGGAACAACAATTCTTCCATCTTTTCATCACTGCATCCAATCATATCATCAAATACCAGCCATAAGCCATCCAAATCGGTTTGTAAATATGAATACAAATGGAAAGTTGACGATTGGCTATGGCTTGGTGGGGTGTTGAAATCAGTAGATACTAGATAGAGGTTGTGTCTCACTAAAACCCCACCTATGATATCCTCCCTCCCGTGTCTGGACTTTGGTTTGAAGCATCGGTGAAGTGGTAAAGTACAACGAGGTTTTGGAGATAAGGATACATATGTACGTAGGTACACTTTGGAAGAGGATCATATGTGTATATGTAGGTATATATCAATACAATAATGAAGTGAAGTGAAGTGCTTTTAGAAACTACGGTATACAATGAGAAAATCTGAATGGTTTTTTGATTTACTAGTAACGATGACGATTTCTTAGACGTATTGCTTGGGGTAACATATCCTCTCAGAATCCTTGCTTAGCGTTCAAGCCGGACAATATCAAAGAACGCAAATAAACCAACTTCATGTCGACTTGTAAATCTTGATACTTGACACCCCTCAATTCAAACATATCAGCTTCGATGATTGAACTTTAACTTTTGATTGTCTTCAATTATTTGCACTTTGGTAGGTTTCCCCATTGTCAACTACCCCTATCGAGTCGTTTATTCGCAGATTGTACAGAAAGCGTCGAAGCCGTCATGTCTGCTACTGTCTCATCTCAGTTTGAAGTCTACGGCGACGACTTCGAGTTTCAATTGGCAACATTTGGTTGTGCTGTACAACATGCCACTTGAATCTCTCAATACTCCGCAAGGAGAGTCTACCCTTTTGCTTTCAGAGCGTACTACAATTCACGATTCGCTTGATGATTTGACTTTGCTTATTTAACATCTTGTTGGCTGAAGTTTAATCCAGTTAACTATCACTCTTTTGGATAGCACACAACGGGTCCTAACATAAACAAGAAATCTAGGCCGTTATATTTCCCATCGATTTCCACAACCTCTATACAATTAACAAATATGTCGACGGCGACCCCACAAGTACCTCCCAGAACTAATAAGTCCCAGGAGCAGGGAAACACCTCTTCTGGTGCTCCCTCTCTTGGTAGCAACATACCACAAATCCCTCCAAGACCTGCCAATAGACGTGCCGATCGCTCCGTCTCCCCTGCTCGTGAGAGCTTCGCGCGATCTCCTCTCAATGATATGCCTATTCAACAAAATCATGGAAAGTCCTCCTTGTACGCCATGAACAGTGCCAATAGCTCAACAACAGAGCTCGAGGTCCCGCACCGTCCATCGAGTGTAGCTCTGCCTTCCATCGGCCAAGAGGGCAATGAATACGCGGAGGTTTTTGGAGCCTCGGAGGATCTCAGTTCATCGCCAACTCAAACAAGGAATGTTGCGAATGATTTAAAGCTTCACGCTCCTAAGCCTTCTCATCCCGAGTCCAGTGCTAAGCAGAGGGTATCTGCGGTCACTCGTACCGATTCTGGTCAAGCTGCTGCATATGGCCTAGGCAGAGCTGGAAATGATAGAGATCCTAGTTCTCGATCTTTGAAGAACAAATCGAGCTTTGCTAGCAACGCTTCCGCCATCGAGCGCCCCCCATCGAGTACCGGTCATGAGGATGAGCATGGCATTCCTGAGATTGGTCAACAAGTTCCAATGTATCCAAATGCAGGAGACGTTCAAGCACCATCTCCATCCCCATACTCAACTCCTTATACTCCTGGTATTGGCTTCCACAACGATGGATCAAAGCGTCATCATGAGCGTAAAATAAGCGGTCGTGGAGCAGACATTCCACCAGGAAGCTATGGTCTTCACGGACATGGCATCATTCCACACGATCGCTTTGAAAAGGCCTATTATGAAAAGCACCCCGAGGTAAGTTTACAAGTGAATACAGTTTGATTGCATGAAGTCTAGTTGCATGGACAAAATTAAGATTACATAAGTATTTTGTATTACTTAAGTGATAGTATCATCAAATAATACATGCTATTTTAAGTTACATTCTAATCATATTCTACAGCTTTACAAGAAAGAAACTGCTTCTTATCACGGACCTCTCGGCGAAGGCAGAGCAGAATGGGCTATGAGCAGTGACGACTTGAACAGAATTGTTAGAGACACTGCTAGCAGAGGTGCTGGTCTTGGTAAGGTTTACGAATGTGCTATCCCCATATGATTCTAATCATGAATAGGCACTTCTCCAGCAGTGATGAGTACTCCTAGCGAGCAAATAGGATTTCAGGCTTCTGAAGAATATGCATCTCGCATGTCCTCCCCTCGCCCACAATCTAGTGGACAACAATCCACTGGATACAACGTTGCGCATTCTAATGCATCTCAAACGCATGTTGATTCGCCCTTGAAGAAAGAAAGCTTTCCTCTTGACGGTTCGAAGAAAGCCGAGTTTGAGGGTGCCTTGTCAAAAAGTCTTGATGATAAGTCTGAACGTGGCTACGGGAGTGAAGCGGACCCTGAAGATACCATTCACGTTGATACCCCTAGTCGTCGTTCTAGTAGAATTTTCGATCCGGCGAATGAATCAAGACCATATTCAGCGGCTGGTGGAGATGACGATGACCTTCGTGAAGAACATGGATACAGCGCTCCCATTCTTGCTTCTGATGAAGTTTCAAAAGAGAATTTTGGATACGAGCTACAACCTGCTGTTTCTCCATCATTTGAGCGCAGAAATATCTATGATGATCTAGGATACAGCAGCACTCCTGGAAGCAAACAAACCAGTCGACCTGGAAGTATACATACACCTGCAGTGCGAGCAACGGAATCGGCTCCATTGGAAGAGGTACATGAATATGAGCCTCTATTCCCAGAAGATGAAAAGTTAGGGGCCGAGGAAAAGCCCGAGACTGCAGCTGATCGTCTGAAACGCCCGGAGGTTCAAAAACGTAAATTCCCAAGTCAAGACGTGTGGGAAGACACGCCCAACAGCTTGCAATACACTGCAACAGTGTCCACACCCCAGCTTCCAGATCCGGATGAAGATAATGAAGATGCTCACAAACGATCAAAGGAGACTCCGGAGCAAGCATTTGCCCGACGACAGGAGGAGTTGGCGGAGAGAGAAAATTCAAGCACAGATAGTTTCTTGCACCCTCAAAAGAAAGTGTGGTCTCATAAACCACACCTTGCTGCAGAAACCCGACCAAAAAATCTTCAGCAGCGCTTCCCAAGTAGAGATGTCTGGGAAGATACACCAGACAGTCTTCAATTACAGACAACTGTTTCAACGCCCCAGACCCCGGAGGTAGATCCTATCATGAGTCCATTGGATGAAAGACCCACCACTGGTGCTGTCGTGTTTCATCAAGAGAAGGCAGCAGCCGGCTTTGGACTTGCGCAAGATGAAGGTCGCGCTACGACTGGTATCGCGATGACCAAACCAAGTATCCCTGCTCGACCCGTTAGATCAAATTCGCCTGATAAAGCCCAGCCAGTCATTCCTGATCGCCCCGGACAAAAGTCGAAGCAAGATGAAGCGGCTCCTCCTCTGCCATTAAAGTCCAAGCCACAAATTCCAGCTCGTCCAGCGAAGTCTTCTACACGTGAATCGTCTGAGAACATTCCATTAACAACAGTCCTTTCAAATTCATCCGCTAAATCGATAGGCTCTGATAATGGCGCTCCTGCCACTGTAAAGGCAAAGCCGCCTGTCCCTTCAAGACCGGTTGGTGGTAAGATTGCTGCTCTGCAGGGTGGTTTCCTCGCAGATCTTAATTCACGCTTGAAACTCGGACCACAGGCTCCAAAGAAGGAGGAGCCTAAGCCAGAGGAGAAGGTTGAGGAGAAAGAAAAGGTTCCCCTATCAGATGCAAGAAAGGGTAGAGCCAGAGGTCCTGCCCGCAGAGCACCTGCTAAAAGTCCTGCCCCTGTCTCAGCGGCCTCTCAAGAGTCTTCTGCTGTCACTTTGGCAAGCTCAGTACCCTCCACATTGTGGTACATTGATTCCGACGAGGTCTTGCACGTAGAATCAAAGACAGACCCCAAATCAGAGGAATCAGAGGAAGTCGCTACATCCACCACAAAAGCAACTGAATCTTCAACTCCAACTCTTGCAACAAACATTGCTGGAGAGAGTCTCCATGATTCTACGGAAATCGCAACTGGTGCTGAGAAGAGTGCTTCTCCTCCTTCGGCCGAAAAGGATATCCAATCTGAACAAAGAGAGGAGATCAAAAAGGAAGAAATTCTTGCTGATGTTCATGCCAATGATGTTGTACCGGAGAAATTGAGTGATTTGCCTCCTGTTAAAGATGATGTTGGGGAGAGCATAACAGAACCTGAAGCGCAAGCTGAAGCTGAAACTGTGGCTGAGAATTAAGATGGTGTAGATAGAGATGATATGGGGGTGCATGGTATTCGTAGTTTGCTAGGCAGTTGGGTTATCGGCGAGCTATAAGTCATGATATGCAATGAGAGTACTATTGAGAAATAAAAATCTAGTACTCTACTACTTCAACGTGTGTTCTAGTCTGGTGATGTTGTGATTGGCTCTTGTTTCTTAGTGTGAAACCCCGAACAAGTAAGTTGTGTGAGATGTAGAATCGCAAGGTCCTTACGAACATGATAGCCAGGTATGATATTGTTCCAATCATGGCATGGAACTTGGACCGGTTTTCAAGTAGGTAACTAGGTAACTCATGGTGTGGCTTAGGAGATGCATCAAGAGGAGTATAAGTTATACTATTTATTGTACGATGAGGAAGATGTTGGGCGGGATGAAAATGAGGAGGAAAAAAGTCCTTATTAAAAAAAAGTGGGAAGGTCTGTACTGTGGGATGAGATTGGGTGGGTTGATGGGTTGATGAAGGGTTAGATTCACTTGTATACTTTAGTGAGTAATAAGCGTTGGCTATATCTACTATCTACTGTAGATTCTTGGCTTGGTTAGGTACCTATATCAAGATGATATATGGATGGGGGTATGATGGATAGAGAGGGGTATGGCTTGGTGGATAGGTGGATAGGTGGTTGGTTTGATTGGTGAGTTGTTTTTGTGGTGGTGGGTAGAGGAGTGGAGGGAGGGGAGTGGGGTTTGGGGTTTGGGGTTTGGGGAGATCGGATTGGGTTAGAGAGGATGGTGTTAGTTTGGAGAGGATGGTATTTAGGTGGATAGGTAGGTAGGTCGGTCTCGAAGTGGATTGATTAGAATTCTTGAGCTGTGTGTGTGTATGTATGTAAGTGGTTGAAGCATGCATATAGAACTTCAGAACATGGGGTATACTCGGTCACGAGGTTGGTATGGATTGGAGGGTAGGTAGGTAGAAGGTAGGAAAAATGAAGGGATTTAGAGGAGGGAAACAAGGTTTCTGGTATACTGTTTGTTGAACATGGTGATGAGATATGCGAGATATTCAAATTCTTCTCGGGTAAATTATGGGAGATGATGAGGTGAAATGAAATGAAATGAAACGGGGGAGTCGAGATCGATGGGTCGGAAGTATTTTTTGTTTTTATTAGGGTTATTCGGACTCTTGTAAGGTTAAAGTTTAAAGATGAAATCATAAATGATCATTGGTGAATTGGTGAATTGGAATAGGTAAGGGGATGCGCTAATATACATTACTCTCTGATCGTAGATGGAATGGGAAATAGATCAGTTAGTTTTCTCACCGTCTCAATTGCCACAGACGTTAGATGTGCAACAAAATGATATGTTTTGCACGCTAGAGCATGGGATTTGAGGCTATGTGGGCTTTGGATAGAACGTGTAAAAGTATGGAGGACTGGCTAGTTACCTACTTAATGATGCGCGTTGGGTATGGTTACCGACAGGATGACTAGTTGTGATTTATTGGTTTGTATAGTGTCTGGAGGAGGATTCATAGTTTGATACATTGGATATGCTCTGGGTCTAAGCTGTGTAAGATGTCTATCAGGTGGGTTCATTGTCGATTCAATGTCATGAGATGAAGTGCCGGGTGTGAATTAATATTTCTTCTTAGGGGTGCGAAAACTATGTATATCGGGTTTGGATTTGAAGTCGGTACACTAAGCATACAGATCGGGATATTTCTTTGTGTATCGGTTTGATAGTTGTTTTTTGTATCAAGACACGTGTTTATCACTCATGCATCAGGGATACATATATTTGGAGCATTCCTAAATCTGTGTTATTTGTATCAATTAACTTCACGGGCTCTCGCAATAATGAGCCATTTGTAGGGATTTCTGTGGTGATGCGGTAGCCTGAAGGCTTGTCCATCGGTAAGTCGTGAGATATAAGTTGCGACAAGTGTCAGCAGTTGGGTATTCGTATAGGCGTAGCTCTATTAGTAAGTCGACCTTCTCCACATCTATCTATCGAGAAGAACAATTCTTGAGATCTTCCTAGTTAGTGACTTGGTTAAGATGGCCTGGTCCTTGTGTTTGAACTCTGTAGTGTTCATGTACTAATTGTAGGTTGTCGAAGCCCCCACTTAGCTACCCCACTTGGTTATCCAGTACTTCCTACTCGATCTGTCACATAAGCTTTCGAAGCTTGTGGATATAGAAATTGAGAATAAGAAAGTACTATTGCAAGGCTTGTCGTTATCTGTGTTTAGCTGGCCATGTTCTTCCGACCCAAAATAATTTTTTATCCTTTTTGTGACTTTCTTAGCGAGAATGTCATACTCTTTGGAGGTATCGAAATGCTTAGAGACAAGAAGCTACAGAGCCGATGTAGTTTAATTTCCAAGTCGTATTACTACCAATCGGTGATCTATTAGTTACTATCAGAGAGTTTTTTAGTAAGGCTAATGTTGATAATGCTGATCTAAGTTTTTGACTTCCAAGTTTTAGCGAGGTTTTTGATAGCTCGCTAGTTTAGCCCCTTTTAAGATTTTCAATGCCAAGAGTACGACTACCGGATTGTACTCCCCAGATTCGAATGAAACTGCTTCGAGGAAGTTGATATAATGAAATGTTGTACTTCAGGAGCTAATTTTGTGATGTTTAACGTATATTAGTGATCTGAAAATGGTGCTAATTTTTTTTGAATTCTGGGCATGGCAATCAATGACAGGATGATCATGACGATAGGTAAGAATGAGCCCATGAACTAGCGGGGATTTGGTCTGGAGAAATTCTTGACAGGTGTGGAGATTCATTGACTGGGTAGAATTGATGGCTTGGTGTGAGTTAGTTAAATTTAATTACATTTAGGGTGAAATAGTCATCTTCGAAGTCTAGCTTTTGTAGCCATGTAGGCACGTCATGTATTTTACCAGATTATAATAAATAACGTGCTCCCCCCGCCTCAAGAGATCAGAGAATAAATGCAAGTACCTAGAAATATTCATCACATCCTTCTCGCGCTTTTATTAATCCTACAAAACCCTCTTGCAGTTTTCTTTATCCCCTCTCTTCTCAAGAAAAGCCTCGGGTATGTTATAGTTCTTGCTATGTATACAAGTAAAGCTCATAGCTAATGGTCATATTCAGATTGATCGACCGCTTCAACATGATTACACGTGTGTCTCTGCTGCTGCCCTTGGCAGTAGTTTCACTTCTCCCCGCAATCACTCTCGGTGCCGACTATGGCGACGAGGTCAATCCCGCTTCCCAATTCAAAACGAAGACGATCCCAGATGGAACAATGCCTTCATTGCCCAATTTTGGGGTGCTCGCAGAGAATCGTTTGAGTTCTTGGGATGATCATAGCCTTACACTCACTACTAATGTTTTAATACCTGGAAATTTTCTGGCAAGGAAGCACTTGTCAAATGGGTATGTATTCCTATTCATCAGTTCTTTGGGGCTTTCAAATTTGAATATTCTGGAAAGTAGTTCGAAAATGAGAAGATTCATGTTTTAGATCTAATCAACATTCAAATGGTTTGAATTGTCGACGTTATCTCGCACATTGAATTCCTTTAATTTACTGTGGCTTCGTCCAGTCCGATACCCCGAACTATTGTTCAGCCTGAAATTTTCATCATCATCAACGTAGTACTGGTATTTTATATCATGGCGTATGCTAATTTTATTGTCATAGATATATTGGCCTTGCTGAGGCCTCACTTGGCCCATTTTTTGAAAGAGACTTCAATCAAACACATCGAGATGGAAAGCAGCCAACGGAACCATGGCCGGAATTCAATCCTCGTCAGAGTTTTGCAGGTATTATTGGATTCTTCGACCGACAACACAACACGACGGAAACAAATTATCCGGAACTTCTCGATCGAGGTGATGAGAGTGTTATCTCAGGTATACCTCACTTCACTGATATATCTATCACCGCTGGTGATCAAGTGCTCAATGCTACTGTGGATCTGGCTACCATTAGTAATTTCAGCAGTTCGCTGAATTTGATGAATGCCACTGCAAGTTGGAGTTACACATGGACTCCAAACTTGAATAACAGTTCAAGCTTCGGGATTGAATATATGGCGTTTATCAGTGCGGCCAGAGTCAACGTCGCGGCTGTTCAGCTTACTGTCACACCATTGAATAACACAACAGAAAAGATCACTATAACTGATATCTTGGATGGTAGAAGTGCTGTTAGGTCATTTTTGGGACAAAAGGGTCATGATGATGCTTCTTCTATATATGTTTCGAATCACCCAAATGGTCTTCCAGATGTTTTGGCATGGACATACTCTACGGCAAAATTATCAAACAGCAGCTTTGAGCTCCATCTCACCAAGGTCTATCGTGTCTCCTAACAATAATTCTATGACTATTGGACAAGAATGGAATCTCGAGCTACAATCTGGACAACCAATAACCTTTCAAAAATTCGTTGGAATTGCCTCTACAGACAAATTCACCGACGCGCAAACGACAGCAGCTCAAGCATCTGATAATGCAACAAGTGATGGATGGGATGTGCTTTATACTGAGCACACTGCAATCTGGAACCAGCGTATGCAAAGCAAAATCGTTGATTACAGGAACCCTACCACCGGTCGTCTACCAGAGAACGATACTACGGCTGAGGTTGATCAAATCAATGCTGCTGTTAGTCGATACATGATCCTCCAAACGCTCCTTCAAGAAGATGGGAGTGATCTGAACGACAATGGTATTAGTGTTGGGGGAATTACTGCTGATCCATACGCTGGTATGACTTTCTGGGATATGGATATCTGGATGTTCCCCGGTATAGCTCTGACTGATCCTGATTATGCTCTTCAAATGATCAAACACCGTGTCAAGATGTATTCTCAGGCCAAAGCCAACGCTCCAGAAGATTATGTACAGGAAAAGTACAAGTTCGATAATGATTCAATCTTGTATTCCTGGACTTCAGGTAGATATGGCAATGCAACTGGAACAGGTCCTACATTAGATTATGAATATCACATTAATACCGATGTTGCAAAGATGATGTTGGACTACAGAAGAATCACTGGTAATGAGGAATACTTCAGAGAAGAATTATGGCCAGTAGTCGAGAGTGCAGGGCATACTATTGAGGGTGTACTCCAGAAGGATGACCAGGGAAAATGGAACATCTGGAATATGACTGACCCTGACGAATGGACTAACCACGTCAAAAATGGTGCTTTCACTCAGGCATCTTTCTTCCAAATCATGAACTCCATCATTTCCATCAAGGAGGAATATAATGAAACGATTCCACCCACTTGGCTCGACATAGCCGAGAACATTACTATTCCCGTTTCTTCCTCTGGCATTACTCTCGAATACGAAGATATGCCCTCCAACATAACCGTCAAGCAAGCCGATGTAACATTGATGCTCCACCCTCTTTCTCTTCCAGAGTCATCCAAGCCTATAAACTATACGCTCGAAAGGAAGCAGCCGACCTTCAATATTACACACAAAAGCAATCGCTCCATGGTCCAGCCATGACATTTGCCATTAATACAATTGCTACGTTAAGATACGGACGTTCTGGTTTGCTCAGCATCTACCTACAATAAGATGGGTGTATTTTCCAATCTACGCGCACCATGGTTCCTAATGAGTGAACAAGCTAACGATGACACTAACGCAAATGGAGGATACCCACCCGCATTCCATTTTGACTGGTCATGGTGGTACGATGCAAATCGCTTTCTATGGATACCTAGGTCTAGATTCTTCGCAAGACGTACTCACTATCCAGCCAACTCTTCCTCCACCCAAACAATATATCACACTTAATGAGTTCACTTGGGCTGGGTATACATTCAGTGCTAGTATGAACAACACTCATACTAACATCACATTTACTGGAGTCTCGCCTTCTTCCTCCAATCCCCAGAACACAACTTCGGTTCCTATGGTTCAAAATCTCCCTGCATCTCGCATCCACAGTTCCAATTCATGCTATCTCTCAATCAGACCCTCACATTAGAAAACGACATGTATTGGCAAGATATCACCACATCCAATAATCTAATTCAATGTCTTCCAATTATTGGATCTGACGCTACCGAATTAAATCGCTGGCCAGAGAGTGTCAATGACGGGGACGTAGGAACGAGTTGGCAGCCCGAGAATACTAATGGATCTTCTATCTCTATCGATACAAGCTCTGTGGTAGGCGAAAGAATAAAGACAATTAATGTGGTATGGGGACAAAGAATTCCCACCAGAGCTTTTGTCATAATTTTCAGCTCTACCAATGCTTCAGAAGGAGAAGAGTTCCTCCTTCCTCTTCCCGATCTTGATACTCCAGATGTGGCAAATGTTATCGCAATTAGAGATGTTGATGCGCTAGCATACACTATGTCTTCAGACGATTCTCCAGAAGGCGATGGGGATGAAAATTCTGGGGATGATGTAAGACTCGAAGAAGGTCACAAAACGACTTACACACTACCTGATGATAGAATAGTGTATATGGGAGATACAGCTGTGCTTCAGATTGCAGGGTGCATAGGCACAAGTTGTGGAGTTTTTGGAGATGAGGCAGGGGCTACAGTGGAAGAGTGGGAGGTAATCGGTGAAGCTTAGAGTGATGGTGTGATTTTGGGATTGGGATTGGGGGGAGTTCGGCGTTCATTGCAAATTAGGCCACGCTTTCAAAGCAGTGGGATCTTTAATGTTTAATTCTTAATATTTAATGTTGATTGTTCTCTTAATAGATAATGTTTAATAATATTTGGGCTGGTCTAATCATATCTCTTGATTCTGTTGTTTGTAATACTGGATTATGTACATTGTCCAGCTCAAATTCTAGTGACAAGTGAACTTACTTCTGGCCGTTGCATACAAGTGACTTCAACCCATTAGTACAGGCCCCACCATATTTTGAAGCAGTTCTTTACATCCATAGGCATTGTTATTGCATCGTTTATTCACATCGAGTAAGACGGCGACCATCGATGGCTTGGCGCCCTTTCAAAACAATTTAAAACACGCGGCAAAGAGCTTAAATCCGACATCGAGATCGGATAAGCTGAAATTATATTACCAATACATCATCTGCGTATGAATTCCACAATCGTGAATCATTGTGGTAATTCACAAAAGCAAAATAGTTCCATTCCAAAATTCGTTCCAAAGTCATCTACTTCTCTCCCAACCCATCCATCGAATCCCTACCAAACATGCAAACATGCAAACGCGATATTTACGTTCATTGGATGATTGGTACTCTGAATTTGATCATTAGACACATTACTTTTTCGAAATCCGGTTCTGAACCTTAGATAGCCCCTTTCTTCCATGCGGCCAGCCGACGGCACGTAATTTTTAGCGGGGCTCATTGGCTGGATGCTAAGTTACACACATAATCTAAAGACCGACTAAATAGCAAACATCACATCGTGAGTGTTTTCCTCGGTTGTCGAATTGATAAATATTAACTACTGTAGAATCTGATTGCAGCACAGTTTTAGCTATGGGTCTCTATACTGGTTTTGACATGGTTCCACGCCTATCTGAAAGGACAGAAGATCAGAAGAGCTGGGAGCGTTTTATTCAAGCCGTCAAAGAACACTACCAAAACGATGATTTGGTTGAAGCAAAACAGAACTGTATCATCGTCAAAGTAGACCGGAATCTTTTTCTTCCATCTGAGGGCCATAAGCTTCTGCGATTCTGTTCGAAAATTTCTGTTCGTCATGCTGAAGGGGTCGAGGACTATCTAGATACGATAACTAGGATTGCAGAGGAACATTTTGGCTCTCGAGTTCATACTTGGGAGGAGGAACTCAAACAGGAAGGGTTTTATAGATGGGTCGTTGTTTATGATTCACGGAAGTATTTTGAGCAGGTACATCAGTCTTGGTCTACTTGCCATCAGTTGTATTTTCTAATGATGTTTAGCTGGGTGAACCAAATGCTTCGGCTGTCATTGATTTCAATGTATTCAAGAACAATTCAAAGACTGGAAAGGACTCAAAAATGTTCAGTATCGAACAGGTGCCAGGAAAAGGGAAAGGTCTGATAGCTCGCTTCAATATCGAAAAAGGAAAACGAATACTTTCGGAGAAATCCTTCTTGGAAATCAGAACTACCTTAGCATCAGGAGCATACCTTGAAAGCAATATTTCCCAAAAAGTTAAAAGGCTTCCAAAAACAGAGCAACGGCAATTTTTTTTCGCTGCAAAACAACATTTGCAAGGGACAACCGTTTTCCGGCATCCTGGTAACCGATGCTATAGGTCGCGGCAATGGCTCTACAATTGTTGATATATATCCTACAATTTGCCTCATCAATCACGACTGTCTTCCCAATACGCATACTTACTGGAACCCCAAAACCGAATGCAGAAATGTCCACGCCGTGCGCGCCATCAAATCTGGAGAAGAAATAACCATTGCATACCGCCCCGGTAAAGGAGAAACGCTCGATGTACGGCGTGAACATCTCAAGAGAGCATATGCATTTGATTGCACATGTCTTCTTTGCAGTCTCTCTCCAGCCGAGACTCAAGCGAGTGATACCCAACGTACCCATCTTAGATTTCTTAGACATGAACTTCATAAAGAGAAGCGAATGCTTGAACACCCTACAGAAAGTCTAGCAGACTGCCACACCTCTGTTCAGATACTCAAAGAGGAAAATAAGGATAGGGCAAACATGTTGATCTCTGACATCTACCGGGATGCTTTCAATATTAGCATTGCGCAAAGTGATCAAGCGCGAGCGAGCTGTTTCATGGAGAGAGCTTATAGTGAAAGAGTTCTGTGTGAAGGAGAGGATGGCCCAGACGTTCAGAATATGAGAAGATTGATAAAGAAACCGTCCCAATATGAAAGTTTTGCGCTAACAAATAAGTGGCAGACTGGAAAGAAGGAAGTACCAAAGGGACTGAATACTGAAGAGTTTGAAAAGTGGTTGTGGAGAGATGGAATGTAGACTTGTTGTATTACTGGCTGCCCTTTGCTATGTGCTCTTGGAGGTTATTTGAGTCTGTTATGTTCAGGACATGTAGGAGGAGAAAATAGCTTTGACTAGTTTACCTATCTTGATACTAAACCATATCAGTGTGATTAAATGACAGATTTCAACCACTTAATGAAAGGGTTTGTGACTTTACTCTCGCATCACAAAAATTAAGTGCACTATATGGCATGAGAGTAACTTGCCGAAACATAACTACAAGCATGAACCGAACCTCCTAGAGCTCGGCTCAAAACTGATACTAAACCCACCTTAGACACTATTCTAGTATCTAGTCTCAAGAGAAAGAACGATAGTGTCTAGATCAATACAAACCCTTCGCCGGAGGTTGAAGGGATGATGAAACACATCGAGCACAGGTATCCGCCAACAACAATACACTCAAGATCATTTCACTAAAACTGACATAGTGGAGTACATCGATGCAAAACTCAGCCGCAAATCAAAATCAGCGCCAGATAGCGAAAAAAAAATTGAAGTGAAACTTTTGAAACGACTTGTCATTGTAATTCTTGGTATTTATATACAGTTGCAAAACTTGTTCATTGATTCATCATTCATTCAGCCCTTCCCAACCCGAGTCCCAAGTCCATGTCCAAGTCCAGTCCATTGCCAAGAAAGATGCTGATGATACTCCTCCATTCCTTCCCTCCCTGGATATAATATGCTAGTACTCGAATAAAGTATGCCCAAAACGCGCCAAAGTAGTATTCCCGAATCAATCACGAAAAAACGACACTTGAATGCCCGACGTTCATATACATACAGCCGTTGAAAATTACAAAAACTCCTAGTCCAATTCAATATCCAGTTCTGGACCTCCCAAACTTTCTCTTCCCGCCTCTCTAATCCCTTTTGCAGTTACGAAGCGAGTCTTCTTCTTAACTCCGCCAATTGTATTGACTCGCTTACGCTTGTTGATCGGGCTCAATCGAACAGAAGGTTTGGTACCAATGAGGCCAAGCTTCCTAGCATCCGGCGGAGACAGTTCTCTTTCGCTGTTTCTAGTATCCTGTGGGTTAAGTTGTACCGGATTACGTCTCTTCATGTAATCAGCACCGAGTCCTCCACCCATCATTCCTAATTTTCTACCGAGCTCCCTTTCTTTCTCTTGAGCTAGAAGTTGTTTCGTCATTCGGTCTTCCTTTGTGCTTCCTCTGTGAAAAGCATCAGGGTCAAAATCGACATCGTCTAATAAGCTCACGGTGCTTCTTTTGCCAATGTAAATTTGACTACGACTTTCTCTGTCATATTTCGTCTTTTCATCCTTCTTGAGTTCTTCTCGGCGTTGCTTATAGCCCGTCATATCTCGAGAGTTGTATTTTTGTTCCGTTCCACCGCCAAAATTACGTTTTGGGCCGAAGCTCATAGTATTGACTTCCATGCGGTTTGCATGGGTCTTGGTAAGAGAAAGATTGACATGGTAGTCGCAGAATTCGGTGTGTCGTGTATTGACCCAGGTATCACAAGTTTTACCGTCTCTTTTGACGCTCTTGCAATATCCGAGGTCTCTATTTGTGCCAACTTCAAGTATTGTATCGTCACTTGAGCTAAGCGTAAGACTGAATTTACCTGTGTCAGTTTTCCCTCGAGCTGGAGGCATAAATCCGGGGTTAAGGAGGGCAATAACAGTTCCGGGTGTGAGTTTCCAGAACTTTTCAAAGGCAGTTCTGAAGAGAAAAAGCTCGAGTTCCCATTTGAGATCGGTTAGGGTAAGGACCATGAATTTGCCGCCATTCTTAGCTTGGTCCTGGTGTGCTCGTGGTGCAGATTTTGCTGCGATGGTTGCGAACACAACAACATCTTCTTCGATCTCAGGACCGGTAAAGTCAGGGGCTTTTACAGTCCTGAGTAAATCGGGTATAAGAAAAGTTTTTTTCCCCTGAAGGGTACGAGTGAGTACTTGATGGGGAATGATTCGCTTGGAGAGATGGGAGGTAGAATATGGTTCGAACTGCGAAGTCTCACCATCGGAAGTATCTGATGACGCTTTGTTAAGATTGCTATTCGAACGCGTTCGATTCAAATTATCGAAAGCACTTCGCGCGTTTATATTTTTGTCTTGTGAGTCGGGTCTTGTATCACGTGAGTCTGGCCTGTTCAAGAACTTTGCTTCAGTGCCGTTCCTCAACGCTGAACGATACGTATCAAATGAACTTTGAGAGCTCTGCGAACCATTGCCGTTTCTGAAAGCTAAACGTTTCGATGCATCAAAGGAGTTTTGAGAGTCCTGTGAGCCTCTTCTCAGGCCAGCGTATATTTCATGACTATTTTTGATTTCGGGACGTCTCGAGCTATCAAAGGAGCTTTGTGGACCTTGGGTCAGTGGCTTCGCGATCGTTTCGTTGCTGTTAATTGGAATTGAACGTAAATTTGAAGTAGTTTTATGCCGTCTTAGTTCCCCGTTCGAATTGTTGAGAGAATTCAAGACCTCCTCTCGACTGAATTCTTTGGTGGGAGCAGGATGGCTAGGTAGTTCGATTGCATTGGACTTGAATGACTCCATCTGCTTCTGATCTATATCAAATGCTGTGCTGCGAGTTTTCTTGATTCGAGCTGCCCTTTCCTGTCGCTCAGTATCATTAATCCTGGCTGCAGCCATTCTTTCGCTAAAAGATTTCGGCCTCTCCACCTGATTAAAACTTTGCGATGCAGGTATGCGATTTCCAGTTTGTGACTGACTTCGTTGTAGGAATGGCCCGGTCCGTTTCGCATTGTTAAAATCCGACTCTAGATTCTTCCTTAAGCCCGGTGCTCTCTTCAGCGAAATGTCTATTCCTTTCAATCCTTTATCAATACCAAGTAAAACCCTTCCAGGAGATTGTGGAAGTTCAGCAGGCTGAACACGGCGCGGTGGTGATGCTGGAACATTGATCTCGGTACGTGATTTTGGACGTTGCGATGGTCTCTCTCTTAACCCTGCCGCTCCTAATCCTGCCAATCTCGAAGACGCTCTGTTTGTCGCTGCAGAGTTTGCTCTCAAAAGACCCGATGTGGGCCTGTGACTCTCAAGTTGCTCGTTCCTCTCGATCTTCTCGCCCTCCGAATCCGAACTCTGCTTGTTCTTCTTTTGCAACTGCTTTAATCGAAGTCGCGCTTGGATTTCCTGTAGTTTCAACTGTAAAGTTTCTTCATCGTCTTCGTCGTCGCCCCCCATCTCTTCCATGTACATATCGGCCTTCATCCGATCTTTGCCTGTAGCTTGTGGTGTCTGCGACACAATGGGTCGTCGGTTCGAAGGGGAAGCAGTAGGAGAAAATCCTGTTGCGTATCGCCGTAATCGATCCCGACCGCCGGGGGTACTTAATAGTGCTTCTCGGGGAGATCTTGGTGGCCATTGAGCCTCTTCAGCACCGCCTTTTAAATACTCAGTCATAAATTTTATACGGGAATGACAGCGCACATACCTTGGGACATAATGAGCACAACAATAATGTGCAGGTAACAGAATATGCAGCTAAGGAAGCGGTTTAAATTAATTCGATATCGTGATATCAATTCTCGCGAAGGATTGTTGTTTGTCATATATACTGCACATTCGGGGTAATTGTTGATTTGTATTGCGTTTTGCTAAACGTCCATCCATAAAAATCCGCAGCGTAGAAAGTTGTAGAAGTCGGATCGCATACACTGTACAATAATCAACGAAATGGAAGTTTGATGTTGCTTGTGCTTGCAGAACGAAGTGAATCTGCAGACGGATCGAAGATAATATAAGATTGTGGGTTATCAAATGGTAAAGGCAGGAATACCATTTGAATTTATGATGTGATTGTCATTCGTCTTTGAGGAAGCTTGTCCATTAGCAGGTAAGATTTTCAGCCCATTCAGATGGGAATTGAAATAGTGTGAGCTTTTAACTTTGGGTTATCGTTCGCTCTATCGCTCTATTTCCAAATCCAGATGTTTGAATTGAAGCAAAAGCGCAAAACCCCGGATTTCAAAATATGGTGCAAGCCAATAGGCGCTCCCAGCCTAGGACTTCAATTTAAAGCAATTGGCTTTATTGGTTGCTATGCATGACTAAGCCAACGCGCTTTTATGCAACGCGACAAGACGCGACTTCTTAAAGTGGTTGAGTCTCATGGATTCTAAGATAGCCAGGTATATATTCACCCAAAACTCAAGTGCACAACACAGTGGTTTAATTGCGACTCGCTGAACAATTCTACCATAATTATACATACAATTGTTTAGGATATGGTGGTTAAAACTAGAGGGAGACCAGCCACCAAAGCTGCAGCAGTAGAAACAGAACCTTCGAAAGTCGCCGATCCAAAAGTCAAACTGCAGCCAGACGATGTCAACCCCCCGAGGGTTTTCATATTACCAAAGGATATCAGTACGGAGGCTCGAATTATCACACTCGAAAACCCTAGATACGCAAAGGATAGTCGATATCTTGTATGTCCCAATAAAGGTTTCAATGAATTTACTCGAATAGCTGCACCAAAAACCACACCTAAAAGCTGGTTACTCGTACCGGAAGATGAGTCGACGGCATCATTAAAGGAAGAACCACCCAAAGATGAAACGATTGATAATGAAGAGTCTTCGTCCAAAGCCAAAGGTTATGTCACGAAAGGGGCAGATCTATTCATTGCGACGCCAATTGACTCTCTATTCATTATTCTTCCAGCTCTTGCACCTGTTCCCACGACCAAAGTTTCGGATCCACCCAAAAAGTTATTCCTGTCTGGCGATGATTATTTCGATAAATTAATATCTACATCACCACATTTAGGGTCTTTCCTGAGAGCTGGCCCATTACGATCGACGCTAGAACAAAGGATGACGGCAGTATGCGACACAGTGGACGCTGGGGACGAAACAATGTTCAGAATAAACGAGGAAAAGCTTTCCAAGGAACTTTTACAGAAGGCCAAGAAAATGGTTGAGTACGGGTTGCCTGCTAGCATGGAGGAGAAACTCGTTAGAAAAGCACTCGACGTACCAGTGCTGAGTATCAACCGTGGTGAGGAATCTACTCAGGAAGGATTGAACGAGGAAGCGAGTGCATCGGCAAAGTCAGGAACTTCGACTCCACGAATCGGTTCACAAACTACACAAATTACAGACTCATCCACAGATACTGTAGCGAGTTCACTTTCTGAAGCTTCAACAGCAGCAACATCAATTTCGGGCGATTTGGCTGATGTCTCTAAAGATCAGAGAATAAGCATGCCATCGATCGATGCACCCCAGGGTGTTGCTGACCTGCTGCGCATCCGTACGGCATTCTTTTTCATTTGCTCGAATTACATAGCCCCTCACCTCAGTGACGTATTGAAGAATTCTTTAAAATCATCAACATCACCTATCGACTTCACCTCCTTGGATAGCCATCTCGGATATCTAACGAAATTGCGGCAAGATGCTTTGGCGGCAAGATCTATGGGAGATTATTCGAGGAAGCGAGCAACGGTAGGTGATGATGAGGAGATAGAAACGCGCGCAGAAAAGAAGCGCAAACAAGACGAGGAGGATAAGAGGAAGAAGGCTGGTGAGAGCAGAGGTGTCAAGAATCTAAAGAAGGTCAACACTAGTGGTATGAAAAAGATGAGCGACTTCTTCAAGAAAAAATGATTGTACTTATTACTGCAAGAAATTTGGCGTTGTGGCAGGTTTGGGGTATGGTTTTGGGTAATGGTCGATCCAGGTTGGCACATCTGAGACACCATCATGTAGAAATTTGTAGCGAATGATTTGAATGATTCATCGTACTCCTCGTGCTCTGCCTCGTGGAATACCTCTTCCAATACCTGATCCACCTCTGCTTGTGCCAGTACCTGTGCTTGAGCCGGTCGAGCTTCCACGTCCATATCCTGACGAGGAAACACTTCCAGGTCTTAAAACTCCTCCTCTAGCTCTGCCTCTTCCTCCTCGGGTCCCACGAGATGTTGTGCCAGCTTGTCTTTGCCTTTCTTCATCCTCCGCTCTTTGCCTTGCAGCTTCTCTTCTTCGCTCTTCCTCCGCAGCCCGACGTTCAGCAGCTTGAGCTTTCAATACCTGCTCGTTCTCCATATCTGCAATATCCTGACTTGCGCCCCGCCAATTTGGATTCAAGATTAATCTTTGATTATGTTCCGTCTGTGATAGTATGCGAATCCATGTGTTAAGTAGCGTTGAAGCGGATGTAACCGTTTGTGAGACTGTCTGAAATAATTCTTAGCTATAATCCAATGCCTATCATACAAATTCTCCTTACATCCATATTTCCCTTCGCAAGATCCAGACTGCCCAGCACTCCTTCTATGAGTTCATTGATATTGCGAACTCCTTCTAGTTCCTTTTGCAGGGCCGCTTCTCTTGCTGTCTCAGCATCGTATTTTGATCCCCCACTTCTTTGCGCCGGCGCATTGCCTTCCGAACTCTTGTTTAGAGCCTTGAGATCAGCCTTTGAGGGTTTGGAAGGGGATGCAAAAAGGTCATCATTGTCTGAATCTGAAAGGTCTAGCTTGCCAATATCTGGGGTAGCCATAATGGACCAAGAGGTAAGGACAAGGACAAGGACAAGGACAGGGTCAGTATCGGTATCAGTGGGTCAGGAAGGAAGAATGTGACTTTGACTGTTTCTAGAATTCTTCAAAAGACCCCCAAAGAGTATATTTTGACGCGTAAAGTCACGTAAATTCACAAATCCACGTCCATTTGGTCCAAATGTTCGCTGTCATTCATCAATCTAACAGAAATCGTCCGAGCGTTGGGGACACTAATGAAAGCCTAAGGAAATCAACATGGCTGGGAATCTTTCTTTCAACCTCCTGGTTTTATGGTCAAGACAGTAAACAAGACCAATATTGCCATCCCTTCGACCTTATTCTTGTCTAATTCCTTCATTTATGCAATATCCTCATTTATACAAGAGCATTTTGATTCCTTTGCTTAGCATTTCAGCGTCATCGTCGTGATATCACAAAATCCAGACATTTTCTGTGCCACATCAACAAGCAAGCAACCAATACAACTACTACCGTACCAACAGCTGCTTTATTTACATCGGCGCTTTTAAACAATCTATACATATACCATCAGTTGCAGATTCCTTTCACCTTTCACTAAGAATCACTTCTTGATACCTTTCAATTCTATCCTATCTCCCCAGAACCGAGTTTGGAGCAGATTTTGAGCATTGGATTGAACGACGTTTACCTTACCGACCAACCTTGAAGGTTCTTTTTTTGTTTGCGAAGATGGCTTCCGCTACGATGAGACCAAGTACACCACCACCTTCCAGTTCCCTCAAAACTCCATCAACACCACGATTCGGTTACGATGATAATTACGAACCGTATTCACCCAGAAAATCAAGTCGAGTAGCCTCAAGGGCAATTCGTAACGCGGTTACTCCACCACCTCCATCTATTAAACATAATATTCGCAACAGTCTTTCTACTCCGCAATCAACACCTCGAGTCGCTAGAAAAGTTGTATTCTCTGGTACACCTCAACATATTCACTCGTCGCCGCCTAAATCTCCTCAAATTGCGACTAAACGACGCGCACCTAAATCGTCTACCACAATTGCCGGCCGACAAGTTTCTGGCGCATTAAATCTCGGCAGCACAACATCCGCAGCTACAGCTCTAGGTCTCACTCCTAAAGATAAGAAAAAGGAGCAAAAAATGGACAACCATCAACGATCTGGTGCGATGGTTCGCGGCGATGGTATGCTGCCAACACCTTCTAAAACCCCACGCCATCCTAAACAAACGGAGGAATTGAAGCAAGGAATTAATGCGGTTTCGCGTACTCTTTTTACCTCGATCCATGCCGACAATTCTGTGGATGCGATGCCAAAACCCAAGAAGAATCGCAAGAGATACGATAATTTTGACTTTGGAAGCTCATCTGCAGATGAACCAATTGCTATATTCACCGACTCTGAGGACCGCATTCCAGAGGTTGACAGCCATGTCGATAATCCTTTTCTTGGTAGTAGCCCTCCACAAAATACTAGAGGCAGAAGCCGCAAACCAAAGTTGATTCACGTTCCAGGAGAGGAGGATCAAACTATGGAGCAGCTCATGGGTCGTGAGGATGGACATGTTTCTAATTTGTAAGTCGCATTATCTCCGCCTGACCCAAGCTTCTTTTTTTTACTAACCACTAGTACAGCCGTGGTAAACTTATTTTCAAGAAGAATTCAAACGCCTCCGCAAGTCACAGTCCAACCCGAGGTGCAGGTCGTGCTGAAGTTATGATTCTCGACCAAAGCTTTGCAGGCGAATTTAATGGACCTGTTACTCGTTCATGCAGACGTCAATTGTTCACCAACAATCGCAGAGCTCCCGTCATTCCACAAGTTCAAGTCACCACCGAAGACGAAGAGGAAGCTTTGACTGATATCGAGGAGAAATTCGACACCGATGCGACAGAGAGTGATGCTGGACTACGCACTCCATCCCACATCCAAGGTCTTATGACTCCGGATGCACCAAGATTTGGACCATCATCTTCACCAACTATCAAAAGAGCTACACGTGCTACAAAGAGATATGATGTTGTCGATTCGCCAGTAACTCCTCCACGCCGTGGCCGCTCCCACGTTACTAGCCCATCCAAGTCCTCTGGAAGTGACAACAACTTCGAACGCGCAACCAGAAAGCGAGATGGAGAATCTGTTTCAAGACCTACCGAGGAAGTGAAGAGAGCACGCAACTAAGATTCTCTTAGAATTCTGGTTATGACTTTTTTATTTGTTTAAGGGATATTGGAACGAAGATTGAATGCATATTGGTGAATGCATGGGACGGGACTGGGTGGGAGTTTTTCACAGAGATTCTCGAGATATCCTCTCATGAACTTTCTTTGACTGTAGGAACCTGCAGTGTTTATTTCTTTTAATCACCTACTTGATGCTTTTTACTTCTTAACGGTCATTCCTGCATGTTTTGATGAGTTCTTCGAGGCCATCGCACATAGCAGAATTTGGACCCCTTCCCGCGCACCTTTTTTGTAAAATACCAGGCAATGGCGTTTTCAGTTTTTAGGCATAGCGAGAATTGGTCTACTACTGTACCTAACGAGATAAAATGATGATCAAGCACATTCATAAACCTTTCTTCCGATGATTTGATTCGATTGTGATTGTCATGTATGTCATGTAAATGATGCCATAGGTGTCTAAGTACCTAATACCGGTAGTGTCAAACTTAATAGCTCAAAGAGCCCTTGTATTGAAGCGTTTTAAATCCCTGACTAAAAAGATCCGATATCGATAAATATCCCCCGCACATCCCACCAGAATATCAACAGCTCTTTTGAATACAACAGCTTTTCAGACAACCACATTCAAGATGCATATTCTCGTAAGTGAAAGTTTATATTGTATCAAATATTGATATACTAATCAACAATTCATAATAGGTGGTAAATGATGATGGACCTCCCTCCAACAAATCCTCTCCCTATGTCCACTCCCTCGTCCAAAATCTCCAAGCCGCCGGCCACATAGTTTCAGTCGTCCTTCCCCATACCCAACGTTCATGGATAGGCAAAGCGCACATGGTCGGACAAACCGTCAAACCCACGTATTTCAGACCTGGCACCCTTCACGAAGATGACGGTACAACGCATGCTCGTCCCTCGAGCGATAATATAGAAGAATGGGTATTAGTAGATGGCACACCTGCATCATGCGTACAAATTGGTCTTTATCATTATTTCAAAGATAGAGGACCAGTAGACTTGGTTGTTAGTGGACCAAACTATGGAAGAAATAGTACGGCGGTTTTCAGTTTGAGTAGTGGGACTATTGGAGGGGCGATGGAGGCGGCGGTTTGCAAGAGAAAGGCCATTGCGTTGAGCTTTGCGTTTTTCACGAGAAATCATGATCCAGAAATTATTGGAGGCGCCAGTAGAGTCGGAGTGAAGATTATCGAGTATTTGTATAACAATTGGGGTGAAGGAGTGGATTTGTATACGGTTAATGTTCCGTTGGTGGAGGGAGTGGAGAAGAACAAGATTTTGTGGACAAATATGTTACAGAACTACTGGGGGGAAGGAAGTTGCTTTGAGGAGGTAGACGGAAACGATGAGGATGCTGATGAGGAAGAAGAGAAGATTAGAGAAAAGGAAGGGCAGCAGGGGGAGGGAGATGGAGAGGGGAAGAAGGCTGTCGGACACACACATAAACATTTCAAATGGGCACCAAGGTTTACAGATGTCTATAAGAGTGTAGAAGAAGCTGAACCTGGTAATGATGGCTGGGCTGTCAAGGAAGGTTACACAAGGTATGTTCTATTTTAGATGGATGACTTCTCGTAAGACTAACACTACTATAGTGTCACTCCATTAAAGGCAAATTTCATGCATGCTACTGCAGCGACACAAGGAGAGTTGAAGTTGTGAGTTATTAATGGCATATCAATAGAGCATTAGATATTGTTAGACCAATACAAGTTCCTTCCCACCCATTTTAAACGTCTCAACGTAATCGAGCACCTCTGACCAATCCTTTCGCCAGACCATCCTCAGATCCAATACCATCACTATCGGATCTCTCCCTTCAAGAGCCCAAGTCAAAACAACCTCATTTTTACGCCTATATCGACTACGAAGATTCTTATGTTCAACCACTAATCCTTTCGGCTCTGAAACAGCTCCCTCAATCTTCATTTACACTTCTCTCTTCTCCCTCCGACCTCCCAACTCCAGAATCACCATACCTCCATATTTCATCATACGAAACCATCCCTTTTGATGAAATAACATCGAAACCTACAACCTCCCTTACAAATGCCTACGTTATCCGCAAAGCCCTCATTCGTAAACACTATTTGAGTGAAACATCCCATATATGGTGTGTTAAGAACCCTGACTCTATTCTCAAAACAAACATCAAGCGCGCAGAGCATTTCGAGGTCGACTACGCCGAGTTCTTAGATGATGCGGTGGTAGAATGTTGGGACTTGAAGGAAAGTTTTGCACGAAACGAAAAAGTTGACGAAGAAGGAGGTAACGCCTCAGATAGAGAATGGTGGATATTGAAACCGGGAATGAGTGATAGAGGACAGGGTATTAGGTTATTTTCCTCTTACGAAGAACTCCTTGCCATCTTCGAAGGATGGGAAGAGGACGCACCTGATTCCGACGAAGAAGACGAAGAAGTTGAGAATCATGACGATGATGAGAAAGATTATATCCAAACATCACATCTTCGTCATTTCCTCGCACAACCATATATCCACCCACCACTTCTCCTCGCCCCCGATGCTGATACGACAGCGCCGAAAAACACTAAGTTCCATATCAGAACATATGTTCTCACTTCTGGAGCCCTGGATATTTACGTCTATAAATCCATGCTAGCCCTCTTCGCTAGCTCGGCATATGTTCCTCCCTGGTCTTCATCCTCTTCCTCCTCAGGCGAAATAGATCTTAACCCGCATCTCACAAATACCTGTATACAAACCTCGGACTCGAAGAAAAATGCCGTGCATCTTCTTTCTTCTCTTCCCTTCCCCGCCTCTCTGCATGAGAAAATCCAAACCCAAATATCTAAATTGACAGCAGAGATTTTCGTAGCAGCCGCCAAGGAAATGAGTATTCATTTCCAACCATTGCCAAATGCGTTTGAAGCATTTGGACTTGATTTCTTGGTGGATGCGGATGGAGAGGTCTGGTTATTGGAGGTCAATGCGTTCCCGGATTTCGGACAGAGTGGAGAGGAGTGTAAGGCGGTTGTGGAGGGATTTTGGAAGGAGGTTGTTGGGAAGAGTGTTGGTGGATTTTTTGGCGTGGGGTCCGAGGGTGGTAAGGAGGGAGAAGAGCAGTTGGTGAGAGTTGGGGGTGTGGATTTGGGGAGAAAGTAGGTGGGTGGATCTGATGAATTAGGTGCGGAAAAGTATTGGGATGGTTATCGATTGTATTGCTTATTGGTTAGCTGGTGGTTTGATGGTTTAAATCTGTATACCTATGCTAAGCTACATCATTCTGTTTGAAGCATGTGGAAGAGAACCCTTTCAGACTCGATGCATGTATATGTACCTTTTGTGAACTAACACTCTGAACTCTATCAAAATATAATCCCACAGTATCATCTCCAAACCTATATTTTGATCCCGTTATATCATATCGTACCTGCCTGCCTGCCTGCCTACCTACCTACCTAACTAAATCCCACATTAATCATATCACATCATATCACATCATACAAGTTACAACGGCTATCCACACATTCCCTCTCTCATCCCCGTCAATCCAAACACCTCCCATCTATATCTACACACACAGAAACCACTCTCTGACAAAAATACCAAGATCTAGTATCGAGATTTAGATTTACATTTGTATCTCAATTCTAAGATGAGATGAGAAGAAAACAAGCGATACCAAGTCATCTAATCTACAGAAATTGAGCTCCTGTTGTTCATGCATAAGGTAGGTAGCTTTGGTTTGAGTCTTTCTTAGCGGTACTTTCATGCTCTTCTCAAATGAATTTGAGAGTCGAGAATGGTTTGTGTGGAATTGGAATTGTGTCTGGAATTGTGGATTAGAATGGTATTCTTAGGGTGTGATATTATATGAAAGCAAGATAGAAGGGAATGATGAGACTTTAATTCAGTGTATAGGAGTAAGTGAGAACGGGAGAGGATTAGAAAGAGGGGTGATAATATTATGAATTCTTGGTTAATTCTCAAGACAGATGGCACTTTTTTGCGGGGGATGGGGGGAGTGTGGAGTTTTAGATTTGAGAGGGTGTGCTGGATGGGAATAGATGTGATGGGTACTCAGATTTCAATATAGATCTGAGAATGTATATGATATTTGATATTTGATATACGTGTATATATATTTGCTGACAAGATAAGATAAAATGAAATAGATATTCCAATCCAGCGTAGTTTGGTTGGGTTGAAGGAAATGCAATTTATCACCCACCCAGCCACCTAAGTACCTACCTACTTAAAGGCACCCGTGTAGTTACTTATCATACGATAAAAACATGTAGAAACCTATATCTAGGTACCTACCTAGGCCAACGTTAACATTACATGAGCCATCTCCTTCTACACAAATTCAAATCTTCATGCGCGTCTATGCATCTAAATTGCAGACGCATAGATATATCCTCGTTCCAAGATTCCTTGATTACCTTCCCCATATCGAAATATATCATATCCCAGTATCAAAAAATCTCTCACGATGAGAAGATAGGTACGCAGAATGCATGAGATACAAATCTCAAATTCAAATTCCAGTTATCTGACTTATGAAGTAAAGTTACGACACTTGACCTTAGATATCTGGCTAATCTAGCTAATCACTCGAGGATAGATGAGAAACTCGGGATGACGAGGAAGAAACTCAATCTCTATTCCCCGTTCCCAGATTACCCCTCACAGCCCACCAAGCTCCATCCTAATCCTCGCATCTCGAATCGAACCATCTATTCCGCGCCTCAACCCGTGACCATCCACAACACCATAAATATCTATACACCACACTTACACTCTACACTCCGCACTCCACACACCGTCTCTCGCTTGATCCATCAACCGATCTGCTAACTTCCTCACGCTTCACTTCCCTTCCCACCCATCTCATCCACATACTACCTATCATAAATACCATATCCATCCCATACATGCATTACCCAACTATACCTCCTCCTACTTCTCCACCCCCTTAAAGCCGCCACAAAATCTTCCACATTTAGGTATATATCTCGAATCTGCGAATTCAAATAGTGAATCAGAACAATGAGGCTATGTATAAAAAATAATGAGGTACAGGGCTATACCCCCAACGATGTTCCAGAAAGACAAACAAGCCAATGATATGACATTACAGGGAGCGAGGGAGAGAAAGTCAAAGAAGAATACCTAATGATTGAGTAATATGAGGCCATAAAGTCGGAGCAATTAAGAGGGAAATTGTAGAGGGAGAATCTGTGTGAGCACAAAAAAGCAGACGAACCTCTCAAATGTACAGGAAACGGTGATTGTCTGATATCCAAGGTCAGTAGACTCGGTATTTCAGACTTATTATAACGTATCAAGGGGGTTGAAGAGCAAAGCTGGAAAGAAGAGGGGTCTAGAGTGAGAATGGGTTAAGGGAAAGAAGAGGAAAGTAAAGGACATTTTGTGGTTATTCTGTATCTCTTAGCAATGGGTACCTAGTGCTGGTTACGTTAGTGATGACGAGAAGTCTTCAGCTAGTAAGTGGGAATGAGAACATGCTAGATAGGGACATGTAGAATTCGGAAGACAAAAATATGAAAAGTGATTTGGTGGACAAAAAATAGAAAAGGCACAGAAAAGGCATAGAAAAGGCAGTAACAAGGTATGCAGTGCTAGGCGCTATTAGCTAAATGTATACTCCTATTAATGAAGTAGTTGACGCAGGTCTTCAACTTGAAGTACGGTATCACAATAATTAAAAGCAAAAACAACTGCCAGCATTCAAATCGTTCGGTATAAATCATTTACAATTCCTTTAGATCCATCATTTGTTCATTTAACAAGCTATGCCGTCTTTCCAAAATCTCCCTCATCGCAATTCTTCTTCCAAAAGCAAAGTTGAAGAAAAAGCATTCCCCTATTCCCAAATACGCATCCATAGATACTATCTAGATACAGTCCCCCAAAAGATCCACAAGTCATAACATTGAACATATCATTACCACCTTCGACCTAAAAACTAGAAAACGCCTGAGAAACGCCAGGGCACATTCATATACACTCCAAAGTAACGCTCGCTCAGAACATAAATGTTGGGTATCAACAAGAAGGAGTGATTGTATGTTCAATCCAAAGGGTTGTTATATTTTAAAGGCTCTTGAAAGAGACACCTCCATATGTGATCCTGGAGAGCGATTGATGTTGATAGAGGTGTTTTTGCTTAGGCCTTGACGGCGGGTTTCTTAGAAACCTTTTTGGTGACAGGCTTCTTTGGTGCGGGAGCCTAGGGAAGAATGATATGTTAACTATGTGAGAAAAGAAAAGGAGTTGGGGTGAATATCAAAGCATGTAAAAGTAAAAGTATGACATACCTTCGTCTTGGGTGCTGGCTTCTCAGCAGTAGCCTCCTCGACTTTTTCCTCAACGGTCTCTGCAGCCTTCTCGGCAGCCTCTACGATTTCCTCTGCAGCAGCTTCAAGCTATAGAAGAATCAATATCTAGTCTTAGATGTAGCAATATCTAACTTACCTGGGCCATAACTGTGGGCTTCTTCTTTGGGGCAGCGGATTTCTTAGAGACAGTGGGTTTCTTAATACCACCGGCTGGCTTGGAGCCGTTGGTTGGAGCAACCTTCTTTCCAGTGTTTGCCTTTGTTGCGGCCTTCTTCGATGTGGTCTTCTTTGGCTTAGGAGCTTCGACAGGTGCTTGGACAGCCTTAACTGGGATACTGCCTAATATATCGAGTTAGTGAAGCTCCATTTACGCGATTTTGCGAACGTATATTTCAATAGCTGAAGAATGGGATCTGGGAAATGAATATAGAAAGTAACTCACCACTAGTGGTTCTAGTTACACGAGCCATTGCTTCCTATGAAGATTAGTTAGTAAGAAAGTATGGTGTGGAAGAATCACATAGACTGGCGCAAGACGAATTGTAGGCGCGTCAACAATGCAATATGCGATGCAAAATGGACATAGATATCGGATAGTTACTTACTTTGTTTGAATGGAAAGGATTTGATGATTTATGGAGAGGTTTTCGTCGCGTTAATCTATAGAACTGATGGATCAAATTTGAAAGATTTATGGATTGTTGTTGTTTTGTGGGAGAGGAAAGGAAGGAAGATGTGCTGGGAGAGGTGTGGTGTTATGGTCTGGGACCGACCACGAAGCCCGCTAAGCGGAAGGAGACCTTCTCAATTCTATCAAGGCCCAAAATGATACTTATATTTATATTTATATATATTTGTAATTTATCTTGGGTAAATTTATGTATTTGGAATGATGATTCAAATGATTATTGTTTAATTTGTATAATATCATTATTTGTATAGTCTTCTCTCCTTCTCCTTCTCCTTCTCCTTCTCCTTCTCATTCTCATTCTCTTCATTTTGATTTTCCCTCAACATGACATGTCCCTCATTTCTAGCCATCACGTGTAACATGATAGGACTTCCCTGAAAAGCCCTGGATCTACCCGCTAGAAGCGAAAAAGATGCAAGATATCAGTTATCTTAGCACCAGGTGGGGCAATAGAGCTTGGAAGAGGAGAAGGGGAAGGGAAGGGAAGGGGAAGAGGAGAACAGGAACAGGAACAGGGCACCAAACGGATCGGAAGATAAACAATTCTCGAAGCTTTAGTAAAGCTCAAGGGAAGAAGATAAAACAGGGGAATCCTGTCTATCAAAAAAAGATGATGCATTTTGCACGGTACAACATAAACAACATAAACATCTTTCATGAACTAGGAAATCCTTCACATTCATCAGTTCAAAATACGAGTAGAAGGGTTACATTGCGACCTCTTACAGGAAAGAACAACAAACTCAGGGGCTGTGGAATGTTTCATCATGGTGATGATTTGCAACCTGATAACCCATCACAGAATTAATTCAAGAAATAAATGTTCGAATGAGTATTGGAGATATAGAATAAAACAAAAGATGAAATTAAGCTGGGGATTCAAATCAAGAGAATATCAAGTGGTATTAATCATTAGAGATGTGTCCCTACCTATTTTAAGTTGAGATGTAACTTATCCGCTTATGAAGCCATCTTTTACAGGTCATTCAAAAAAGGAATTGTTTTTGAGCTCACCAGTTTGTTTTGATTTCTACTACGGCTTTCCATGCAAAGTGGCAATCATCCTGCTTCCAGCATTTTCATTATCTGTCTCGAAGTTTATTTTCCAATCTACGAACAGGATATTGTGAAATGGGTGCCAGCTCCAGTCCTTCATTGGGTTTGGTATCTTTAATCCTTGGATTTCCCATCATTTTCCCGAAGCCTCTAGAGAACCCTACATTGTCGTCGAAAGAACTGATGTAAATTTGAATCAAGGTGCTAGCTAGTGATGTATGATCCACGGCTCTCAACTATACATAACCTAAGGTTAATAGCGACAGCAACAATACCTAGTGCAGTCAATTCATTATCAAATTTGATGAGCAAGTGCCTCGTCCTCATCTACAATGCTGTAGCTCCGATACGTTGGAATGCAGTAATGGATAAGTGGAAAGCTGGAAGAATTCTCAGTTCTCGTTACCTTGGGTAATTGGACTTCAATATTGATTAAGTATTTACTGAGATATGATAATCTAACAAGTATAATTCCAGAAGTTGGGTTTACTACGATTTTGTTCGTCGTTGGGTGTGGATAGTGAACCTGATGGAATTCACATCTTGCAGCTCATGAACTACGTACCTACTTACGTATTGTATTTAGCTGAGCAACTAAAGTGATACTTCATTCAAGTCATAACAGCGGATGTTTTTTTCTTTTTTAGTAGGCCAGATATTTGCTGTATGCTGGTCTAAGGTCAATATGGAAATGGAAATAGAAACAGAGGTGTTCAAAGGTGTACTGAATAAGGAAGAAGGAAACCAGTGAAATGGAATGAAGAAACATGATCATTTGAACCTCTGTTTCAGTGCCATCCTAAAACCATGGAAGATTATAATAAATAAAGGTCAAGGAGAGGAGATGATATAAATAAATATGAGGTGTACTTTAGTCGTTTGTCAAGAGTCAAATTGTAGTTTCAGAATCTTATAATTACTCACATCGACGAATGTATACACAATTATGGCTACAATTTTCCCCTTTCATCTCTCAACTCTCGACTTTACTCTCTGTTCTTATAAAGCACACAAAGCTTGTAATTTGATCTGTGCAACTCATCATATCTATACTATCAACGCCACCATCCAACAACGCCGTAAATATCCATACAAGATGGCATGTTTCCAAAGAAGAACAAACTCTTAACCACTATCAAACAATTATTTTGGTGGGTTACCCCTCTGCTCTTACTTTTCCCCCTTATATCTCTCAAACATCTTAATTTGTCATTAGTAACAAGTTTATGGACATTAAAAGAATCCAACTCTAAACACCTTTATATGTACAACAGTAATTCTAGTATATCAAGCCTAAAGATGCTAATACTAATAGAGTAAGCAAACTCAATTCTCCTATATACTTCTTATTTCATTATTATATAATATATAATCTCTATACTCTCTAATATAAATAAATATTAATAACTGATAATCCCTAGCTCTCATTCATCACGACCTTTTCCATCTCTTCTTTTATATCCTCTCTCTTCCCCCTTTTATCTAGCATTCCCTCACACATCTATCTCAAATCTACTTCACTTCTTTCCAAATTTCCTTCCGAATCATAGGAATACTTCAATTTCTCTTCACACAACTCTATTTCATACATCTCATTCAGTTAAAGGGAACGAGCTAGCAGATAAGCTAGCAAAAGAGGCTACTACAATACAATCCACCTCGAATGAAACCAGTTTCGGATTGCTAGGAATGATAATCAAAGAATCCTCTCTCGATCAATGGAGTTCAACTCTCAATCAATATAAATTCAGATCCAATCAATCGGCATTAACCTATTCAAAGCTATTTCCATGGAAAATCGGATCGAAAATTAAGCTATCAATTGAAACCAGTCGAAATACTGTTAGTGCATTCTTCTAATTGAAATTGGATCACGGATATATCAAATCATATCTATATCGATTCAATCATTCCAATAATAGATATATATACAGTAATATTGAGACACCACAATACCTTCTGATTAGTTGTCCTATATACAAAACAAAAAGAAAAGAGATATTCCAGAATATATTATTATTGAAAATCACTATATAATTCCTATTACATATCAAAATAGGTATCGAATTAGCTATCAAATTTATCAATATTATCAAAATCGCTATAAGGGTATAGTATCTAGTAAGGACTTTTGAATAAGAAGTAATAGAGAAAGGAGTAGTAATGGAAAAGGAAAGAAAAGAAGATAATAAAGAAAAAATAATTAAGGAAATAAGAGAAAGGTTTAATCTCCTTATAATTTCTTGATTATCAGAATTTTCTTATTATATGTAATGTGTATAATGAGCGGGCATTGTTTTTTAGTATTTGTTTTCATTTTCCTAATAAGATTATAATCAATATTGTAAATCAAAAAGTTACCTGTTAGACCTATTGGGTCTAGCCGTCCTATATAGTCTTAGACTGAAGGTGGACGTAAATTCAATCAATCAATCAATCAATCAATCAATCATACATCTCATCAATCTATCCGCCCCGTAGATATCTAGTTCTAATTCGTCTCCTAAGCTCTCTTAACACAATCAGTACACTATTCTTGAAGTCAACCTCCCATTATCATCTACTACCATCATAGTCCCTAGGTATGCTAAAACTCAAATTTTTGTTCGTCGTGTGATGTATTAGTTACTATGATACAAAATTATAAAACAGTACAGTGCAATACAGTACAGTACAATACATCTCTCTTTCCCATCTCCGCATCTCCTTGATTCATCTCCTTCTCATTCCCTTATGATATATACATAGAATCCTAACATATCATGTATCACCTCCATATTTTCCTTCATCGCCTCCGAATCGAACTCAAACGGTATGAAATTGGGAGTTGTTATATGTATCTAGATTGTAAAGTAATTAAACGAAGCTAGTAATATAACCGTGTCGATTTGATGGTTAGGAATAAATATCTCGTTGAAGAGAACACTCAAATATATTAGATCTATAGTGCCCAGAGGATCTTATGCAGGAGAAAGAGAAAGAATACCTCAAGTTATAGAGTAGACAGCTTGTAAAATGTACACATCTCGATCTCGATGAGAACTGAGGATATGAGAGAATGATCGAACTAGCTAGGTATATATGCTATGAGTTTCGAGATTTCGAATGTAAACTTTGAAGTAGGAGAATTGATAGTAAAAGTGGAGGAAATTTATACCCAGGAGATACATGTATCTAGGTATGAATGCGAGGAGATGGAGTATGATAGTATATTATAGTATAATGAAGTATATCAGGAACTTGGGGTATGTAGTCAGGACCCAGGAAGCATACAGAGAAAGAATGAGATGAGATGATGCGAGATTGTTGCGATGAGGAATTATACATGAAAGCAAAACGACAGAACAAAAAACGGTGGATGGATAGGATAGAGCGAAGAAACAGTATCATATATTTTTCGGTGCATATACTTGGAATGACTTGGTGATGTGTAGGTATGTGAAGTTGACTGCGATATGGATGTTGCTTTGGTGTTTCTTTATGTGGATGAGGTATAGATTAATTGGGCTTGGATGATGATGATGATGATGATGATGATGATGATGATGAAGTATGAACTAGCCATCTACAGGAACTTCTCCCTCTCTCCATCTCTCCCTCTCTTTTACCCGCTCACTATCGGTCTTCATTCAGCAGGAGACAAAAATCTTCCTCTTCCTCTTCCTCTTCCTCTTCCTCTTCCTCTTCCTCTTACCTTTTCAAGTTGAGATTCATTAATGTCATGGACGAATTCTGTATCTCCATTCCTCATCAAATCAAATACCAAAATAAAGTACCAAATTCGCTCCTGTTCTCATCATTTCTACGAAATCCACAACATCTAGTACAAAATTGCAAATACAAACACATGTCCCATTCATCCATTCATCCACCCTACCAACTAATCTCGCCGCATCCTATCTCACCTATCTCCATCCCCGATCCTCACACATTAGAAACAGAAACAGAGAATTTTCCAAACATACCTAGAACCACCCAACCAGTTAACCAACAAACTATCATCTACCCATTCCCTCCCAAATTCACGATACGATATTGAGATTTCCCCAACGCGATATTCTC